TACATCTGCAATCCTCATCATGAGGGCTCCTCCTCATGAACGCCATCCACCTACAAACAAATGTTATGGGGTGGTCTTCTTGGGAGGACCCTCTGCTACAGCAGGACAGAAGACAGAGACCATGCTCCTCAGAAAGCACACAGGCTTGTGAGTTAAAAATTCAAGAAACTGTGACATCCAAAAGAAACTGTTACTTTTCCATTTCCTACTCAGGAAAGGCCCTGCGCTACCAGTTCTGTACTTAAAAGATCTCACAGAGCAAATTAAAATGAGAAGCAAAACCCTGGGCTCCGAAAGCCTCAAGAGATGTTCTGTCTTCTCTGGAATTCAAGACTAGGGCTGCCAACGTTCCTGACCTTATAAATGGAGAGGGGCAGAGTGTCCATGAACTTATAAAAATACAGGGAAGGGAATCTAATTTTAGGCATTGCGGTCCAACAAATGTTTGCATTAGGATTTCACATGTAATCAATGATGGAAAATGCTCTGGCTTGTCCTTTGTCTACAGATAAATCTTTGGTATCTAAGTTCAATGGTGTGAAAATTCTCTTTGCCTTAACCTTCATTATTGAAAGGGCCCTTTAAAGCACTGCGCTCTCTGAATATGGGTGAGAAAGTGCTGCAAGGCAAACAGTATCTTTAAGAGTGGCTCAGCTGAGAAGACGTTAAACCGCTCTGGTAAAGGGCATCTTCTAAAAGGCAGCCTACAGGATAACTGGTCCTTTGTGGGACAGGAAAACTCTTAATTCAAACCAGCAGTCCATGTCTGCTGCCAAGAGAGGTCTAAGAGAGGAGATACCCAGACCTTGTGCCCTTCCTCACAAACATTAGCCATTTATCTTAAAAATTCATCCCAGCGTTTGGCTTTGGGAACACCTACTTTGCTTTTGCTTTCAGCTTTTGCCCCAAGGCTTGAGACCTTTCATTACTTCACTCTTGCTCAAAAACCCCCCAGTTCCCATAGGAAGAACGTTTAAGTCGGGGGACCCAGCAGCAGCACAAATGCCAGACACTCCACACCACTTTCCCCTGCAATGAAGATTTGCTTCTTACCACCTGCCACAAATGAGCAATTAGAGCTTAGGCTGCGCAATCAGGTACTCCCCATAAGCACCAAGACTCTAATACTTGCAAGGAACACAAGCACCTCAATAGTGATGTTCAGTCCTAGCATCTCTGTTCAGAAGGGGACTTGAGGGGGTATGGGAGGGCTCTTCCACTCCTCCGTTCCACTCTCTCATTGAGAAATCCCATCTACATCGATGTCGTTCCCATCATCCGAGAATAAACAAAGCTGCTGCTTGTGACAGGGCTTTGCTCAAGTCACTGAAACAACCACCCATACGTGTTAAATATGCTAACAGTGATGCTGCTCTGTTACAGCGTGAAAGGTGCCAGCAGGAGCAAGGAGTCGGTGCTGTCTGGAATAACCAAGCCAAGAAGCTTCTGCAGTTTCAGCTGTGACCACCTCAGTGACTCCAAGCGAAGATACACGTATGGTAACGCGGTGCTGGAGAAAATGAAAGCGTGCCACTCTCCCCCGCCTGACTACAACTCCGTCATCCTTTATTCTCAGCCACCCGTTTAAGTACTTCTAAAGCCAAGATTTAAATATGCATTTAATCCAAAAAGGTTCTTCTGAAACAATCAGTTTTAAAACTTTGACCCAAATCATTTTAATTACCCTAAAATTTTAAAAAATATCATTGGCTTAATCTCAGTGATCCGCTTTTCTACAGACTGCAACCAGCGTATACAAAATATAGTAAAATACTAATGCCTAGGCCTTGACTTTCCCAAATGCTGAACACCAACAGCTGCCACTAAAATTGCCCAGTGCTTCTGAAAACCTGGATGGTCATCATTCCAGAGAAAACCAGTTCACTGTCTGGTCCCTGGCAGCAGGACGGTATTTCATGCTCCAGCCACCCAGCCTCTGCTCGGGTGCAGCACCGGTGTCCTGGTCGGGAGAGGCAAGCAGGAGCCCTCGGGAGCCTGTGTCAGGCACTGGGGAATTTGCACCCTATTGCTGGGGCCTGTGTAGTGCTGGAAAATAGGGAATTCTTCAAGGAGAAACAAGAAACAGACCACGCTCTACAGTTTTTAGTAAAAACTCCACTTTGAGAAACTTGAGGAAAGGCTGATGCTCCGGGGAAGCTGAATTAGCCAGCTGGGGATGGGGCATTAGATGGCTCTTGCTGCTTCGGATGGCAAACTCGGTAAGGAGTCTTCCGAGGCAAGAATTTCAAATTTGTGTTGCAAAACCCAATTGGCAAGGATAGAGGAGAACTAGGATCAGAGCCAGGGCTGCAACAAGAGGGAATATAGATCAATTTGGTTTGGACAAGCCTGCTGAAATCAAGTAACTGTTCTTGAAGTATTGCACTTTGTCAGTATGCCAACGCACACACACTGGAACCCAACCACAAGCTAGATATGTTAAAGCCAAGCTCTGTCCACGAAACCTCGTGGACCTTCTAACGCTGCACTGCACTGAGTATATTTTATTTATGGGAATCTGTCTGAAAAGACAGGATAGCTACTAAACTGCATATACTTTAAATGCATTGATCACTGGCGAGTTTGAAGAGATTAGTTAGAGATGACCAGACAACCTCCTTTGAAAGTTATGGCAGCTTTTCTATGAAGACAGTTGAATTTCCAGGTTAGTTACTGGTATATATATACAGGAATAAAAATGTATCATTCGTTTGTAACAGACTTTTGTATAGCATCTCAGAAAGGGCATGAATGTTCTTTGTTCGAGAAGTGTAAGGATGCACCATCCCCTTTCATCTTTGAATAAAACATTAAAATGGGAGTTGGCCACTTAACACAGTAGTGCTGATGTCTTCCAAATCAACAACTGATGCCCAATCTCAGCTTCTCATGATCTGCTATAAATATATATTAACTAAAATGCTACCTAGAATATGGCTCTGACCTCTTAAAATTCAGCTTAGGAGCTATGACTTTAACCCGCTAACAGACCTAAAGGCAAACAACTTCTTGCATACTTACAAAGAAAAACGTTCTTGGATATTCAAGTAAAAGAACTATGTACTGCTACTTCTAAGCCAAGTACCAATTCTAGATCTTCCTGGCCAAGAGATCATCAGTTCTAAATATCTATTGCACTGTCTCTTGCTGGTAAAGTATATTTGATCTTGATCAAAACAAAAGGAAATTTTGCGAACTGTTTCTTAACTCCAGCTGAGCAAAAATAGTTATGGGATGATGCATCTCAAAGGAAATGTTTGCACAGTGTAAATATATAAATATGCTTTTTGTGCATAAATATTTAAGAAAACTGGATTACAAAGATTACTTTTATATGAACCCCCCAGGTTTCTTCAGATGTGAATAACTTACTTTGTCTTGCATTTTCTGTCTTTGTATAATGTATTTGACTGCTAAATTCATACAATAAAGTTTGCTTTTGAAAGAATCCGCAGTTCTGCCCAACTAGTCAATCCAGCGCCAGAGACTGCTACAGCAGATGATTCGGCACTAGGCAGCACTAACACAGCTGGCAACAACCCATCCCCTGGGCCAGTTTTGTGAGCAAAGGAGAATATGGAATAATTGCACGGAAGGCACACTTCTCACACAACAGAGTGGATACGGTGATGGACACTTGTGCCGCTCACTGCCTGTGTGAGTGAAATCCCCAAGACTCAGCATATCTAAGCAGTGCTTACTACTGCGTAAAGGCAAAAAATTCAGGTCTGCCTCTGGGAGAGGCAAGATTTCATGGTAGGGGAAGAAAAAGCAGCCCCTTGACAAACACCCATTCCATTACCCCCCCTGCCCGGTTACTGCTGCAGCTAGAAGATCTGGTACAGGCAAAAGGACGTGAGTTGGCACCTTAGGCCTGGTAGGCGCTTTTTCTTCTTCAGCGAATCTCCTCATCCCCACCCCATCCATCAGAAGCAGGGGATGCTACCTCCACAGAGATGTTGGGCGCTCTCTGCTATACAGCGTTTTATAAAGCGATGGGATCTCCAAGCCACACTGCAGATAAACCACACACAAGTGCTGGAAGGAAGCAGAGATTAAACTTTCTCTGGGGAGGCAGAACGTAGTGGGATCGCCTACTGCTGCTGGAGTTGTGCAGCGGTTGCTGCACATTGCTCAGAAGGAAGCTGGAGACTAGATAACTGCACCAATCAAGCTTACTGCAGCTTATATAATAAAATTTCTAACCCGCTGCAATTTAAGGGATAATGACTCCTTGCTAAATGTATCGCAGGGAGTATTCACAATTTCACACACACTGCACAAAATTTCACATTACGTAAGCACAGTCAGGATTGGATGGGTATAGGAGACTTTATACCACCAGTAAATCATCTCACCTTTGCTGGTTAACAGTACAGGAAAATAATTCTGGGAAATGAAGCTGTCAATGACTCCACGTGCAAATTCTCAAATTAATATACTTTGCTATTGGGCAAAAAAGCTCAATAAACATGAAAGTAAACAAGCTTCAAAATTAGGGTTTGTCTAGTAAAGCAGACCTGGTCTGACAGAAGCAGGTGGGACTTGACTTGGGAGTTAAGGAAATGTGTATTAGTACGATTCTAGTCAACATCATCTGTAAGTTTTAGGACATCTGATATACTGCAAATGGGAAGCACTAAACGCACTTCGTGACTCGTGACTGTTTAAACTCCACATTGCAGTCAGAGCGAATACAAAAGCAGCAGGATGGAATGCAATACAGTTCCAGTGCCAAAGTTGAAAAGCCCTGTATCCAACTTCAGAACTTCACATTGTCAAAATAAGGCCACGTTATTTCTGGTATTCTTTATTAAAAATACTGCTGTACACATGAAGAATGAAAACAGGATTAAAGATGAGTAACACATATTGGGATCATGACATTAGAACTTAACATACTGGTGCTTTTTAGGGGAAGCAGTTGACACCTGAATTACTGAAACAAGGGCAAATCAAAAATACATAGGTACCCTCAACAAAATATTTACAATATAGTAAATACAGCAACAGAATTTAAACAGGTACAAAAATTAAAATGACCAACATCAGATGATTTCAAAGGTTGTCCCTTCTGTGCTTTTAGCTGTAAAAAATAGGAAGGTCAGAATTAAATATCCCATCTGGGAGGGCACATCCTGGTGGCTCTTCTTTTTAAATACAGATACACAGTTCTTCCTATGAATGGATCAAACTACAACTTTAGGACAACCGTCTAAATGGAATTAAAATGGGGTAGAAGGGCTCTCCCCCAAAAAACACCCAAGCTGAACTTCAGACTGTTCAAATCATTCCCAAATACGGACCAAATGAAATAAATAGAAAACAAAGCTCGACTTTTTTTTTATTATTTTATGTATTACCTGACACCAAATATTTTCTGGCTGACATTATGTATGAAAACTTATTAGCTGTCTACCTTTTTATTTTTAAACCAAGTCCTGAGGTTACTAGGGGCTGAAGCAAACTGACATTATGCAAATACACACAGGTTTGCAATTTAGACATGTCTTGCAGAGGGTGGTTTGCTGGTCTAAAAAGGATGAGAATTCAAGCCCTATTTTACCCCTGCCTTACACTTTCACAAAATATTGGTCCACAAATTAAATTTCCAAAGGTTCCCAAACCCCACAACTGAACAGATGATCCCCTTTCATTTTCAAAGAAAACAATACTGGAAAAAACCTCAGCCCGCTTATAAATTAAGCATTTCATATTTCTTCTAGAATACAAGTACTTCTTTTTTGTACAAAAGAATTACAATATGATTTGTCAAAAAACATATAAAAGACAGCTGCTCTTCCTCAAATACATGAGCTAATGATAAAAGACTGTTTTGCATGTTCACTTTTCAAAGTTCCTGTTCCTTTTATATTAAAAAGAACATTCTGGCAACTGTTATCGTTTGAATATTAAACATTATGTTCCTTTTAAAATTCATTCGATCAAATGCAACAATAATCGACTTTTAAACTCAACAACTGATGCTACCTAATGTGGATTCAACCACATTTTCTAAAATGTGTAAAGCATGTCCCTAGTCTTCAAAGCTTTCGATGTGAAGAGAGTTGCTTTTTTCTTGATGCAAGTCTCAAGGCGGAGAATCATTTTAAAGCTTATAAAAGTGGACAGAGAAATATTAAAAACTTCTCTGAAAACTACAAATATTGAGAATTATTAAAATTGATGTCAGTAACATCAGTTGCAAGTGCTTAGAGTCTGTCCTGACCTTTTGAGTTTCCACATTTTCTTCATGGTGAGCACCCAGTGCTATTAAAACATTCAGTGCTGGGAAAGGATAGATACAGTCTTCACTACTGCTTTAAGAAAGGAAATTCCTACATATTTGGCAGTCTTCAGTATCAAAGTGTAGGTGTTTAACTAGAAATCCCATGAATACCCAAGTTTGGAGACAACTGCATGTCCAAATATTAGAAAGGTAATTGAGGAAAATTCCAGACTTTTGAGACTGAATTACTTCAGGAATATTCATGTGTTGAGTATTATCAAAAGTAATATTACTTTGGGCTAAGCAGTGACTGCAAAGGCACAGCAGATCATTATCCCTCCAGATTCAGGCTGTAAAACTTGAAAAGCTCTTGATGCCAGACAACTGCTGTGTTTAGTTAATCTTCTTTTAACAGTGTCTTTGTATCTGTATCCAGTGTAGCGTACCATAATAAAGCTGTGGTTCAAAGAACAGAACTTTATACAAAAATTATACTGTAAATAACCTAAAGTAATACACTCCTGAAACTTCAGGCATTTAAACAATTTCTTTAAAAAAAAAATCTATTAAAAAAATTGCATAAATGTAAATGCTTCTGACTAGCAGGAAAACGTACAAACAGTTTTTAAAAGGCGCTGGTTGTGTTTAGAGCAAGTTTGATATGCTCCTTAAATTATAGATGTTTCCCATTATGCTATTTTCGTCACTTTGCTTAGACAAAGTTTAAATCAAATGACAGGGGACTTTCTTTCCTTTTTAGTCAATTCACCAATATTTCACTTGACTGGTTTTAAAAAGTTTCGTCTTCTCACATTTTTTTGAGCTAACAGTGGGTGGCATACAGAGCTTGCATACAACACACTTTTACAGAGGTTACGAACTAAACGGTCATTAATAGAACACAATTTCTATTAAATTATTTACCTGGTCCTTTATGCTATTCTGGGTGCAAATAATATCAAAAATGAATAAATTTTGCTATATCCTCAGTGACAAAAATGTATCCCAGAAATGTCCTTGCAAAGAGTTTCCCTTAAGTATACAATGTGGCAAAACTTCAGAGATCAGAAAAGTCTTAAAAAAATTAAAATTAGTGCATATACAAGTGGAAAAAATAAAAGCAGGAACATCATGCACCTGATGTGTTCCTTAATCTAAAATAAATTCTTCACAGATAAAGCCTCCAATGGCAGCCTTAGCTCTAGGATAAGTGAAACATTCTTCCCTTCAAGTAACAGTGTACCTGACTGAAGTGCAAGCAGCTTTGCTCATCTCCTGTTTGTTTCCCAAATGTGAAATGAGATGACAACAACAATTCAGCTGTAGTGCAATTTGCTATTGGTTAAGTTCCTCAGCAATGTCCTGCATGCTTTCAGCAAATACTACAACTGACCATTTGCGGCTGCAATCAGTTCTTGAAAAGTATTTTCAAAGCAGCGTTTTAAATCGCTGTAAGTTACCACAAGTACACTCTTCTCATCTCTGGAAATGAGGCTTATTTTTTCTGGCACACCAGCATCTAACTGTAACAAGAATGCAAAAGATAAAATAAAAGAAGTGTGAAAGAAATGGCAAAACATTTCCCCAATAACAAAAGCAATCAATTTCTTGGCAGGTACTTCTTGTGGTGCAGTTCAAATCTGCTAACACCACAGAAAGGAAGGATCTGAATCACACCACAACAACATACCTGCCAAAAAATCGAGACATTTTGGTCTTAACCTGATGGACATTCCAGACCTTTGGACTAGGTTACCATTGTTTTCTTCCCTTTCCATAAAGCTAATAATCCTGCAATGCTATCTTCCCCTATGTAGAAAGCCTAGAGAAATTTCCATACAGCTCCTGATGAACAAAACCACATTTGACATTACATTTGCACATAAGATCCACAAGCCTCCACGTAGGGTAGGTAAATTACTTCTTGCCCATTCTGAAATGAAATAATGGATGAACCAGTCCCAGGTAGTCTGAAAACCGGTAGGAACCCAAACCTCATGTTTTTGGCAGTACTGATAACAAACTAGTTCCTAAACTATATGGCACATTTGAACCCTTACTCTAAAAAACCCAACCACCAAAAAAAACCCCAACCACCAAAAAAACCCACCCAAAACCAAGATTACCTAGTTATAATCCATAAACAAATAGAAGATAATTTGGGATTAAAGTCTTTTCCACATTTGTTTCCCATGTTTTGTTCTGACTTCTCAAATTCAACATTAAAAAACTGTATATTACACTATGTACTTTAGAGATGTACCACTAAATCCTAATTTGGAACAGAGGAATATCCTACTTCACATGCTGAAGCCCCTTCCAACACTGTATCTTATGTTCTTCTCACTTTGCAAGAAGCGTTCATTAATAGCGAATTGTCAGACTCCCTTATAATGCAAAACTTTTGTAGCTCTGTTTTAGCTGATATACTGTTATTTCCAAATACTTGACACTACAAACTTTCTTGTTCCAATATGTAAGATGGGGCAGAGACAAGTGTGATATGACACTATCGAGAGAAATCTTTGGAAATACAACCCCAGCAGGATTAAATAAATGTATTATAATGTGGTACTGAATAGTAGAAGAACAATTACATTTGTCACTGAAATGTTCCACTTGCTGCTGTCTGGAGCAACACAGCAAGTTAGAAATTTCTTGCATTTGTCTTCTAAAATCATATTCTGAGCATAACCTTAAAAGCTGGAACCTCCCAAATAGAAAGTTCCTGCTTTGTGAATAGCTTCAGAAGGACAAAAGCAAGCTAATTAGCTTTTAATTCCTGTAGAGTAGGATAAAACCACCAGTCTCTTCCAAAATCCATTACAAAATACTATCATGGTTAAGGTGTTTGTGAAATATTGTCTACTGTTCCCATTCGCGTCAGATAAGAAACCAGTGAATTACCTTAATGGATGTAGGATATGGAAGATCTGTATTAAGAAAGCCACACAGCTAATTAGAAACATCAATATTTATAGCTTTCTTTCTCTCCTCCTGTGGAGGCATAAATCAGTATCTCAACTGAAAAGATTCCCAAAACGCCACATTGAAAAAAAGATTTTTTTTTAAACAATAGAGTAATTTTCATTCAAAAGGAATGTTTTTGGAGTGTAGCAGGAAAGCCCAAATAACCACTTTGACTAGTGCATGCTACAGTCTCAAAGGCGTTTTTTAGAGTGTATTTCCAAAGTAGAATTCTGTAAGCCTTACATTTTTTGTGTGCTGAGCCCACAACCACAGAAGAGAAGAGCCTCTGTTTAAAAAGGTAAGCCATGAACATTAATAGAACAAGGCATTCTTTGACACCATCTCTTACCTGACCTACGAATTCAGGACTGTCCCCTCTTGCTACAGTACTGTACGGGTCACTGCTTTCAAATCATGATGGCATTTCACTGCCTATTTGAATATCAACATGCTTTCTTTTTGATTTAGCCTCAATCCCTTTAATGTCCTTTTTAAATGATTACAGACACCAACCAGAAAGATAAAAAGGAGGTTAAAGAAATGCACAGCAGTGGTCTAACAGGAGATTAAAAGCCCTGACAATTTAGAAAAAGAGTTAACTGTAGTTAAGTCACTTGTTACATGTCAAAGGATCTGAATACGTTCATTTGTTTCTGGAAGAGAAAGTTGGCTATCCTAATCCTAGAAAAGAAAATACTAGCCACTGAAACTAGATTGTCAGTGTCTGCATCACCATTCTCTACAGAGTGAGTGGAATGACCAAGCAGCTACAAAAAAAAAAAAAAAAAAAAAAAAAAAGAGGAAAAGGGAAGAAGTAGCATCTTACGTCTCCTATGAATTACTGAAGTTCAGCAAAAGAATGTAAAGTAAGTTAGAAAGCTGATCTGCCAACAAAAAAAAAACAAAAACAAAAACCTGCTCATGTACTTTTTTAATTTATGGAGCAAGACAAGTTCTACAACTACTGAATATCTTGTGGTCTCTCACATGCCTCCTGCTCATTAATCACACGAGTGTTCAGCTAAAATTTTGCTAGTGGTGCAGCTCTTAGAAAACTGCAAATAGCTTTGTTAAATCAACCTTGGAAAACAAAGGGCTGGAGAGGCTAGGGAAGTTATCAGAAGTGGACTTAACATTGTAAGTCACAGAAATTTTCCAGCGCTGTCCTAGACGGTAAGGATTTTGCACAATTTCTATTGCAGTTTCCCTCCTGTCTCCTACTCTGGTCAGCACAGTTTAGAAATGGATCCTCTTGCCTTATGACCATCCTCTTTCATAACTACATCAGCAGAAACCTCCCCCAGTTATAGGGGTTTTATGGATCCTTTATGCTGTGTTGAAAGACCAGAGTAGCATAAAGGGACCAGCATTGCTTATCCACAGTATTCAATGCATTCTAGGATGAAAAGTTAATACTGTATCTCATGCTATATTACTGAATTCCAATTTTGAATATTAATGTACTAAGTTTATTTAAAATATCCATAAATGTTTGAATATTAAGCTTAGTGAATACATTGTTTTCATCCAAAACAGGGGGAAAACAACCATCAGTTAAATCAACAGAACCTGCCAATGCAAACTTGCTTTGAAGTGGAATATTATTTTAAAGAAAGTTAACCCAAACAAATTTTTAAAAGCTAACCCAAGTACAGTGTACCTTGTTAAGACATGAGATAATGTGACTGAGGTCAATCCAAGGAGTACCCGCTTCTGTCACCTGATGGAAAAGGTGATCTCGAAAGAGCTTTAGTAAATACCTGTCTCCAGTTTCTGACCACGTTGGGTCCTTCTGAAACCTGGTGTAAAACAAAGGCTCACATTAAAGCTCAGAAAGATAAGAAAAATCAAAACCCACAGATAATGTGACTCTTCAATCTAACCTGAATAATCGTACTGCTCTGCTAAGCTACCCAGTATAATTTGCAATTAATTATTCTCCCCTCTGCCACAAACAGAAGATAACACATTCAGAGTTTCTCAGCTAAAGTACCTAAAGCTAACGCCTACCAAAGGCCCACAGAAAAGGGGAGAAAGCAAGAGTTATCTTCAACAAGTTTAGCATGTAAATGTTAGAAACCAGCATTACAAACACAACTCTAAGTCTATTCAATAGGATGGAAAACAGATCACGAGCACTTCATTTTTGTGTAGTAGTTGATAAAAACCAAGCTGAAAATTAACTACCTTAAAGCCAATTATCTGCACCATTTGCTACAGTTAAAGCAAGCTATGGGTTTCCTCAAAAACTGTTGTCACTCACAAGAGGCTGCTAAAAGAAACCATACTAAAAAAACATGAAGCAACTCTGGCATATCTATTTGTAGCCTTCTCCTCTATTTAAAATTTTGGTCAAAGTTTCTTATTTTCCTCAAGGCTTCTTAAATACACATTTCTTTGGGGGCAGATATGGGGAGAATGTCTAGCTTAAATTTACGAGGGAAGAAACCTTGCATGGCAAACCGGCTTTTACATACTCTACACCATGAAAACAAGTATTTCTTACTCTGGTCTCTCATTGATTGTTCCCAATTTTGCTAGAAGCCTAAACAACCTTCCATTTTGCACCTCCTAGAAAACAAGAGAGAGGTTATTAAAGTTTCTGAAACATAAAATTAAGACACTTATTTACAAAATACACACAGTAGTAATGCCAATGAAGCACTATTCATTACCATGATATCTTTATTTATTCTAAGATGAGGTTATATTTTTTTCAGAAAGAGATCAAATGCATTATATCGTGTATCGGTAGCCCATTGCTAATTTTAGCACTTCATATGCAAATTATGATGTCGAGATTTAACAACCAATGACACTTTGATGCCCCAGCAGGAACCGGATCAAGCAATCTGCTTCTTTGTGGAAATGTAAGTCTAGTCTATTGCCAGCCTATAGTTACAGGTATGCTAAAACATAGTAAGTTAAAAAAAAGAAGAATATGTTAATATATATACATACAGTTATCAAGACCTGTAAAAGTATGTAGTATAATACTTTATTACAGGTAAAGATGAGAAGGAACATAATCTACCATCTTTGGTTTTCAGAAATGCTTTGTAGGCCATTATTAGTAAATATTTAGCAACAACAGTTTCAGACTAACATTCAAATTACACTTGATTCCAAATATCATTTTGAAAGAAGTTTTTCCAAAAAAGCTAGACTTTAAGTCTTAAAACAGTATAAATTCTGAGCCCATCAATGACAGACAAAGCAATGAGAATGAACTCACACAAAAGACAGAACATTAGAATTACAGATGCTTAGAATACATGCAACTGAAAAATTTCATACATTTTTCCTCACCAATTAGGATACAGTAAGAAGAGTTACATCCTAGCTTACATTACACTGCGAATTAATCTTTTGTTTAAGTAAAAGCTGCTCAAAAGCTGGCAGGAAAAAAAGGTTCTCTCCTGGTATTATTCATATTCTCTAATGGCCCAGCTCTCCAACGTTATTCACGCTAAGCTGCATCTCATTCCATGCATGATCATATTGATTTCAAATGAATTCAGTCTGGAGTAGATTACTGTGCACAGCTGGGTAAATAAAGTAGGTCAAGGTGATAATAGCTTGACCTCAGACAACCTATGGGTTGCAAGACTTCTACTACCAGTCTAAAAACACACACAGCAGAACAGCTTGTACCACAATTGTAGCTACACTTAAAAGACTGATAGGGAAGACTACCTTGTCCAGCTAGCAGAGGTCTATACAATCTCCAAATAATTTTTTGGTATGTGGCCAAATATACAAAAGCCCAAACCACATCTGTGTGAATGCCACTGCCTTGCAGATTCCCAGTCAATGGTGACACAGCTGAGCAAAAACACTGGCACTAAGTCTCCAGGTGGCCTCTCTGCAGGCTTCGTAGCCTGTGAGGTTGAGAGCGGAGTAGAGGACTTGAAAAATGAGACTTTGAATGCTGTGACATATAGATGATGGGAATATTAAGGTGAGAAAGGAAAGGGATAGAGCAATGGGGTCACTGCTGTGTGAAACATGAGCGTTACAGGAGTAACAAAATATTTGTGGTTTCAAAAAACCAAAGCTATTAAGTACATAAAAACGCACCTCCAGCGTCAGAAGCCCCTAAGCTACAGATGACTGCATGCTTGGAGAATACAAGTTAAAAAAAATCATACCTGCTAGACTAGTCTTGTTCTAATACTCTCCTCTACGCATTTGCTTTGGGGCAATAATGAAGAGAGGGTACCAGGCTAGACTTAAGGAGTACTGTAACTCTGATGTTACTGAGGATGCGGTAGTCCAAACAAGTTGTCGTACTGACAGCTAATTAGCAACTGCTATTTATCACTACCAGGTAAACAGCTATTGCCAAACAACTTGTAGTGGCTCTGCTCATCTGCTAGTGATAAGCAACTGTTACAAACAACTTGACTGAAAATGCAGACTGCTTAATGCTGATTTCAGGACAACCTCCATCTTTGTTATGGGAAAAGGTCCACCTGCCCAAATTTGTGCAGGTACATTGAGCCACCTTAACAAGGAATGATCATAAACATCTTCAGAGCAGGAGTAGTGGTTGACTCTGATAGAGCGGGCCCCTGTCATCTACAGCTCTGCATCCAAAGTAGATACCGCCTTGCTCTTCTACAGCTCTTTGCTTCTGACAGATTTCAATACCTTTCACGATGGAGGGAAAAACAGTTATCCAACAGGCCAATGGTGGAGAAATTGAGAGAACCAGCCCATCAGAATCCCAAACTTGGTCTGCTGCCTCTCAAAAAAAAATTCTCAATGAGGGCATGTAACGGAAAGGAGTCACAGGACTTTAATAAATCCTTAAAAACTTAATACCCTATCCCACACATAGCTTCAGCACCATGAAAGCCTTGTGTAACATATCTTAGTATTGTTAGAAAATCCCAAGATGAGTGGCTTCTGATGAGCAGACACCCTTTCCCGTTGAACAAATACACACTAACATGGGACAAAGTACACATTTCCTTTGTAGCTAGTGCTTGATACCTTAACTGAACTTGACAGACTAAGCAGACCCACACAGCAAGAGATGCATACTTCAGGGAAAGTGAGGATGGCAGCTTTTACCTCCATGATCTAGCATTCATTTGGAAAGGAATGCATATGAGATAAGTAAAGGGACACTGGAATCCAAACCTACCCAAGAATTTAAAGGCAACATTTGCTGCTGTATAACCTCTAGCACAAACTACATGATCTAGTGTGTGATGACATATGCGGCCTTACTTACTCAGAATACTACTTTTTAACCATTCTGTAAAGAACATCTTTTCCCCAAGACTGCTGGTTGGTCATGAAGATGTTACTTTAGTTAAAGCCCAGCTGAAGACGTCCTAACTAGTGGTTCTTGGAGCTTTTGGACTTTCAATACCTGGAGCACAGAGTTCTCAAGTCTGCAGGCAGACTACTTAGGTTGCTAAACAAAAAAGGAAGAAACAGTAGAAAACATTCCCTTTTAAGGTACAGCTGTAGGAATACCGACTATAGGTCTTCCTGTAGGAATTACTAAATTATTTACCTTTGCGAGGTCTTCCTCTATAACATCATTTCGCATCTGAGCAGCATCCAACTGAGTATAGAATCGTGCACCAATCATAGGCATGATATCATTTACACTGCGAAGCCTGTTTTGGTCGGTCAGCAAATACCTGTCAAAATATCCCCACACCCAGAAAGATTACTTAAACACACTGTTTTTTATCAAGAGAGATCACCCTATTATGATTTTATAACTATTTGACCCTGATGTCTTTTTAATACATGAATTTGATAATTGCTGCATTTCTTAAAAAGAAAAAAATATTAACAGAGAAAACACATGTGTTAACTTACATGTATATATCCAGTCAGTTATATATACAAGGTAGGAGTGTACTTTCATGGAACTGCGTAGTTCACCCACTCAACCAGCAAGAACATACTCAAAAAGAGAGAAGATGCGAAGATTCAGATTGTCACGCAATTGTTTTTCAAATGAGGGAGGGGACAGATTTCTACTTCTCCCTTCTTAGGCTGCAAGAGGAGAGGCTGACTATACTAAAGAACACCACAAAATAACATGCAGCCAAGAAAAACTAGCACTCAACCCTTTGGTCAAAAAGGCAACGTGTCTATTACTCCAACAACACCACCTGAAACTGTAAAATAATACTAGCATATTGCTATTGTAGACAATATGTAATGAAGCCCAGTATTGAAGACAACGTAAAATGCTTGTTTTGTTTAAGCTCCTAATGCGTATTAGAAGCTTTAGCAGCACTTAGTAAAGGACACTGATTTTGTTAGATACACCATGAAAATACACGATACAAATGAATTTTAAATTAGGTTTAATGTGCAGACAACTCAATTACAGTAGTTATATCTGTAATCTTACTTGCATCTAAAAATACCATTTGACATTTTCATTTCTATGTTTAGAAAAAAGCAGTAATTTCCTTTAAAATATTTATTAAGCAAACTTACAAAATCAGATTCTTCAGATCAGAGGAATAGTTGATTGTCACCAGTTCCATTGCTTTCTGCAAATTCTCTCTCTGAATTCCTGATAAAGAATTGCAAGCCAATGCCAACACAACTTTCCCCAAGGAGATCAGATCTGCTTGCTAACAGGGAAACACACACAGATAAGGTTCTTAGTAGAGATAAATATTACCTATGGAACTAGATGGTGTTTAAAAAGAGACAGTTCTTCAATGACCTTAGAAGAATTTGAGCAACTAAAGTAAGTGCTATTCAAGTCATAGTTCGATATGACTGTTCCAAGTTACAGTAGTTAAAACATACAGACAAAAATCTGTCCTGATACCTCACAATTTCTAGGTACTATATTTATCTGTGAGCACTTAAAATGTACCTATTTTTAGTTTAAGGATAGTACCAGAGAGAACTCTTGTGTAGGGAGCAGAAGCTCTGCAAAGAGGTTATAACCACCCACCTGCTTGCTCCTGACAAGTCAAGGAGTTGGTGGCAAATAGAGCAAGTCGTCTTGATACAAGACACAGTAATACCTATCAAGGATTATTTGTTAAAACAGAAACACCATTTGCTGGAATCTTATCTTTTCACACTGGCCATTCAGTGTGAATTCCACACTGGAATCCATACCAGATTCCAGCAAATGATGCTTCTGTTTTAGCAAAGAGCTCAAAGATTTTTGTCTCTGATGGCCAGTGTGAAAAGATATGAACTGCCTGAAACAGCTAGCCAGGAACAGGCCTGTATGGCTGACAAACTGAGCAGCATCACATTTTATGAAGAAATCCTTAGTGTTACTGAACACTTTCCTCAAAAGTAGAGCTGCTCTTAAAAGATGAGTGCTGCATACAGGCTGCTTTGCCACAACAGAAAATTCTGCCAATTTTAATAGACAGCCACCAGAAATTATTTTGAAAAGATACACCGGATTTTAAAGCCCACCCCTAAAAGGAAGAGCCTAATTTAGTAGCAGCCAATGGCATTCAGAGCAAAAGCTGCCTGACTCTTTCCATGGAAAGGCTTTCAGCTGCACACAACTTGGCCAAACTTGAAATATCTGCAGCTTTCCATGCTGGATGCCTGCTTCAAACTGAATTTAAGACTCAGCTAGAGATACAAATTTAGTATTTTCCTGTGGGTATTTTTCTGAGAAAGTAAGATATTTTTGCAGAAGTAAAAAAGTAAAAGCTACTAATTATCAAGAACGTCAGCTCTGTAGTCTAGAGCCAGGCTATGCCATTTTGCAGAGAATGCAGTCATACAAGCAAGATACTTTCTGTCATTTCTGTAAGAAAGGCCAAAAATTTGGCAGCAGTGCAACATTAAAAGTTCTGTTTAGAATTTGACAGCTTTAGAAAAGTGCTGTGATTGTGAACGTGCCACAGCCCCTCACAGCTCTTTCACCCAGAGGGATAAGCATGGTTTGCTGCCTCTGGCTGCAGTAACCAAGCAGAGTTTTCCCTGCAGCCACATCTCCCAGGTGCTAAGGGACAGAGTAAAGAAAACCTTTCCAGGCCTCTCAATGTTCCTGCTGTTTCCCTATCAAGTTTGGGTAAGCAGCACAATTTAAACATGGATATGCAACATGCCAGAAGTTAAAAAGCATGGTACTCTTGTAGCTAATGAAGACAGAAACAGGATGTGAAAAATGAGACAGAAATAAGGACAAACCGGTGGAGAAGGAGATGGGACTGGTGTTTGCTAGACCTGATTTCCTAAGGAACCAGGAATTCCTGAGTATCAGCATTCCTTTGTACTTTGGTAAAGAAAACAAACCAGAGCAACAAACCTCATTTTGGTGGGAACCCACTTACTTCCACTACCAAGTAGTCAATTTGAGCAGCAGAGGACACTGCTGTAGTACTAAACAGAGGAATCTTGCTGATGCAGTATTTATAGACACATATGTCACCTGGCACAAGGGTGGGTTGGTTTTTTTTTCTCTAAAAGACTTAGAGGAAATATGTATTTGTATTAACTATAATCTTTCTTCTTTCTGCAGTCCCCTACTTTACACTTGATACCTTCCACCTTTTAGAAATTCATGAGGATGTATCCTGTATAAATTCTCTACCACACAACCCTGAGACACTGAAAATACACAACTTCAGGCAAGACCCTATGAAAACGTAATCTTCCTTTACATAGGTGTTTTCATAATACAGATTGCATTAGATTTTAGAAATGGTTGAGAGAGTCTTACATTAACATCAGCCAGGAAATTCTAAATTCAGGCTTTTGGTTTTTTGAACATTTCACCCACAACCTTAATTTTTGTTTGTTTTGCAAATTACATCTAATAGAAAAACTGGCAGATGATACAACACGCCAATGCAGCCTCAAACACACGCATTTCAAATTACAGTCAATGCTTGACTTGTTTTAGTTGCAAAAGTGGCTTGGATTCATCCCACTAATTTTAGGAACTTCAAGCAATTCAGTTAAGAGTCTGATCGATTTAAGGTATCTGTAATTCTGCAAGACAATTCAGAGTGAGCCAAATTGCTCTCTGGAAGTGCCCCACTATTCACTGACAGCTGAAAACCTGAAAGAAAATGTTATTACAATGCCCAGTGTTTGAAGTTGTACAAGTGCATGAAGACAGGCAGTAATTTTCCCATGTGATAGGGAGAATCACAGAATATCTCGTGTTGGAAGGGACCCATGAAGATCAGGATCAGATTCCTATTTTAAAAGGGACAAAACTACCATCCACTGACCAACTCTATCCATGCAGACAGGGTACACAACTTCCCAGAAGCTGGGGTACACCATGCTTTCTGCAAGGAAGTGACCAACACAAGCTTAATAAGCCCTAACCCCTAACCTCCCCTCTGAAAACATCAACAGAATAATCTCTTCCTGCTTCTAGGCAGAGAAAGGTTAAAGGAGGCACACACGAACTGCTAGACCTCGCTGGAGCAGGGACCCCAGACGTAAATGCTGTATGCCTGTAGGAGCCTTGCCTAGTACAAGGTATGGATCAACATTAGGTATGATCATTTCCCTGTTTATACTCCATATCGTGCTTTGCATGTACCTATGGATCACCCCGGTTCCTTTTGCCACAGACCTGCCAGGCGGCTTTTGCTATGGTAACTATCAGCAGTGACTATAAAGTCATACCAAGGTGATTCTCAACTTGAAGGAAAAGCTTTTACACCTTTTAAGTACAGGCTGCCTTTTGTTCAAAAATACACCTTGCATGCACCTAATGACCATCTAATTAGCAATTCGATTAATAAATGTAACCTGTACCAACCTATCATTTTATCTCCTGAAAGCTTTGCTAGTAAAGATTTTTATCACCATCATCTAGTTCATTGATAGAAATATTAAATAGCATTAGAGACTAAAATCCAGCCCCTAGGAGATAAACTCAGGAACAGCTTTCTTCATTAATGTCAAATGAATTTCAAATATGTCAGTGGGCAATTTAAAAGTTAATTGAATAGTAGCTACCCTTTACTTTCTGCATTTTTTTTTTTAATATTAAAAAGGTATGTGCTACTATGCCAAATGCCCTGGAGACACCCAGCATTTTATACACTTGGCTTTATCAGCCAGACATGTAAGCTGGTCAAAAATAATTTTTTTTTTTCTTTACAAGATCCATTTTCCATAAACTCTTTGAAAGGGACATTACTTTTTTGTGTATCCTATTCCACTGCTTTGCTTGGATCAATATCAGCTCATCCACTCTACAATTCTGTGGATTCACTTATCCTTTTAAGTTCTGAAATTGCACTTAGAAGTTATTCCAAGTTCCTAGATTTTTTGAGTTTTTTTTCTTTTTAAAGTAAACATTAACACTTCAGATGCCTCTTCAGCTAGTTTCTTTAAATTTGGTGAGGTGTGTGTGGAAGTTATTTTGGTTTTCTAAATTAAAAATATTTACTTTAAGCAAATGTAACCTTATAGCCCCTGTTAAAATCAACAGAACTTATGTTTTCTCTTCATTACATATGCAGTGGACTCATCTTCATTTTATTCCAAATACAGAAATATTTATTAAACATTTCTACTGTTTCCTACATCACCATTTACAGTTTTCCCAACTGTATCTCGTAACTGACTGACCAGACTTAAGGATTGGGGCATGGGAAATGATGTGCTGGAATTTATATAGTTTTAATGACTTTTTTTTAATGCAAGCGGCCATTCATATTTCATTTACTACTTTTTACCTTCTCTTATTGTTGCCTTTATTTAACTCTTAAATTATCATAGAAATTAATGTGTTTAACACAGATTGTAAAGAACAATTGCATTCCTTTTACATTGCCCCTTGTTGTTCTGGTCAAACTCTTTCCTATCTATATTAACAATGGGAAATAGTCAGAAAGTGACAAATGCTAACAAAAATACCTTCCTCCATTGAAGACAGCAACAAGGAAATGCATATTAGCTGGGCAGTAAACCAAGAGATAACCTACATTTTTAACAGTCACAGGAGTCCCAGAGGAATTCAGGAACTGGGTCATGGATCGAGAGGAAAAAGGACAAGCAGCAGCTGTTATTTTGTAATTTTATCTGGCTAGGGCAAACAAAGGTAGAGGATGATAAATGACTCTTGAATTTCAAGGAATGAACTCAGTCCAGAATCTCTGAAGGAACAGAATGGATAGTGAAAGCCTAGCCCTTCTGGAGGAAGCGACAAAAAATAAGGCAATTCTGCATTTTCTAACTCCAGTTTAGATCTTCCAAGCCATATGTTTAAGAGTAATTCTTTTCTGGTTTAGCAGTGATACCTGAACAATTTGGATACTAACTATGTATAAAACATGCAGAAACATCCCCCCTATGCAAAACTAGGCATTACCAAGCAAGTTCGTTGCCAAGTGTTGGGCTGCTATGGTGGTAAATGCTTTTGACAGATTCGTGTACCTGTGAGTATTTTTAGATTTGTACCTCCAAGTACATTAAACGTTTTGCTTTAAAATTACTTGAATGTCATAATATCTCCAGAGGGTATCTATCCCAGCTGCAATTAAAATAAATTTAAAGAAGTATTTAGATTAAAAAAAATCTCATTACATTTTTAGGTATGGAATCCCTCACTTGCATGTATTCCTATCTTCTCTCAGCTGTTTTTCACTAAATGATTACCACAAAGCCCACTGATACGTAGCTGGGGGTGGGGGGCTGGAAATCCTTTGATGTACTCAAGTACATTGAAAATTGCTTTACTGTATCATTCAAAAAAAAAAAAAAAAACCAAACCAAACAAAAAACTAAAAAGGTTGCTATGTTCTAGGACATGGTCTCCAATAAGCTAGTTTGTGCCTGGCCAAAGTTCAAACATTTCATTTATTACTGGAAGACTCTGAATGAGCAAATTTCTCACAGTGAATAAGCTCAATTAATGAAAATAAATTACATTCAACTCCCTCCTGTAGTCTTTCACTCCCAGTACGGACAGGGTATGTGATGACTGCTGAAGCAATGTACTTTACCCTGAGTTTGTTAAGTCTAAAGGGATTCTTCTTAATTCAGGAATTATGCAGAGTCGACACTTCAGAGAACGCCAGGAGAGCACGGAAAAACTAGGAGCCTAAAATAAAGATACACTAGAACCTTTTAGGAGTGAGGAGAAGGCCTAAGTGCAGTTATTTAAAAGATCTCTTACTCCTCTCTGTGAACAGGTATTCAACACTTCGTTATTTTTGTTAAAATAACAAAAGAGAAAGCAGAGCAAAAACTGTTACTGAACCATTATTTTTTGATCTCTAACACTTTTTGATCTCTAACACAATGTAAGACTTTTCTTCTCCTTCCTTTAGAAATTTGTATTTCTAACCATTTCTGATAAAAGTTTGTTAAATACCAATAGTTCATCCTGTTTGGTGAGTTTGCTGAAATTTTAGGAGCAGAAGATAGCAAAATGAGCATTTACGTTTCTAAATTACAAGCAAATTTGAAAAATGCATGGCAGAACAAAGATCAAATCAGGAATGAGAAAAATACAGTTATTTAGAGATATACTGGACTACAGTTTAAAATACTTGTCTTCCAAAGGGAATCACACTGGTTTTCAGTACTCCCCATGCCAAGTCACCAGCCTAGCTATGGTGCTGTTGTCTTACCTGAAACTGAGCCATTAATGCCAGTGGATTATTTTGACTGTTGTCAAATGTCAAAACATCAAAGATTCCAACACAATTAACTCGTAACCTTTAGGAACAAGAGCAGCAAAGGAAGAAGTGTCATTGAATTTTGTTGGTTACTCATTTTTTTCTCTAGCATTCATTGACTGCTTTGATCGACAAAAATGTCAACCGTACTCAGAAAATTACTATGACGAAGAAAATACTAATTTTACTGTTTGATAAACTGCAACAGACAGTCTTCAGTTTACAAATAAATCAACAGGTTTCTAAATTGTCATTAGTAGATCTGAACAGTACTTTGAGGATAATGCGTAAGTCCTCCCAAAATATGTTTAAAAAGAACATTAAAAAAAATTCTAATGTTTTAGCAAGTATTCATTTTTAGTCTCATGCCAGTTAAAAGTAACAGAACTTTCTCATTAGACTTTGTTATTTCTATAACAGGTGCATGGTCAGCAGCTACCATGAACACATACCACAGTACACAGCGAGAATGAACGCTTTCATTACCTTGTTTTGCCTGTTACTAGAATCTTTGTTGGATCCATAACTCGGCACGCCAGTCCTGCTGTATGAATGGTCCGTAATGCAGAGCTGAGCTGCACAATATATGCCCATATCAAAGACTCTGGAAGCAATCCAGCATGCTGCCGTGGTAGAGGTCCATCATGCTGACCTAGAAGCAAAATGTTGTAAGCATCAACAAAAGGCTTCTAAAGTTAGCACATTTTGAATGATACAATTAAGTCACATACTCGTTTCATTCAACTCTTAACAGTCCTCAAAAAACTTATCTATTGTGCTTTAATGGTTGTGGGTTTTTTTGGAAGGATAGCACTTCTTAAAAATGCTGACAATAGGCATATTTTCACACTCACGTTCAGGAAAACTATGCTGATTTTTGAAGTTTAGGATGAAAAATCACTACGAGAAGAGCACTGGTTAGAAATTGCTGAAAGTGGGTGGTACATCAAAACATGCAGGTACTTCAGAAGTAAAACTACCGGTATTCTGAAACAACGAGCATGTACCACAATAGCTGCAGTGGATCCTGTTGTACCTCCTTCATTGCTGGAAGGCTTACAAATTAAATGTTCCCTATCATCTGATAAGACAAAGTAATGAGCTAGTTTGAAATTACATGGACAAATCAGACTGGAAGATTTGGTGGCTAAACATCCCTGAACACAACTTCACGTATGTTCTGCTGTGACCCAACTCCCTGACAAGTCATGACCCCTGTTCAACAGGCCATATGAAAACAATGCATCACCCCCCTTCTAAATGGATTTGTAGTCCTCCTTTCAAAAGTAAAACTTAATTATTTGCAATCACACACCCAAATTCTACATTTCAAACTCCTTCTGAGTAATACTGAGCCATAGATGAAAAAAAAAAGATATAGATAACGAGTGTTATTTTTAGTAAGATGCGTGTAATACAAATAAGTTGCAATGGTTTGCATGGCACAAAGCTGAAGAGAAGAAAATACATCCAGAGTAAGGCAGTGCATCCCAATTTTACAAAACACTACAGGCATTTCATGAGGTTGCCTTACTACTGATTTTGCTAATTTTGAGACCAGTAATGTCATCAGTATTCAGTAAAATCATGTAAGCATCTGATTCAGTTGTAAATATCAACATCTGTGCACTTCCTCAGAATAGGTTTGTGTGTGTATGCGCTTGCACGCGTACACACAAACATACATATGTGAGAGTTAAAAAGTGAAACAGATTACTGAAAAACTTTTACTTAGCAATTCCATGGATTTGGGGGTGATGGGCTGGAAATGTTCCCAGCTTTCATTTCTGAGCTTTTGTTTGCTTATTTTCAAACTTTAGTTCATTTTTCAGGTCTAAGGTGCTTTGGTTTAGATTATAAAGCTCAAGATACCGACTCCTTTAAATAGTGATAAGCCTGGCATGTCTACCGAAGGCTGAACATAATGAGATATTCTTTGTTTTTTCTGGCTTCCTGATGAATCATTATGCAAATCACTTCCCACAAACCAGCATACCACAAGTCTCACGTAGCAAACTTTTTTCTCCCTCATGATTCTCTCCTTCAGCATGACAAAAATTATGATGATATAAAATGACTGAGGAGATATAACGTCCTTTATTAGTCGAGGCTCTTTCTCTGGTTACTGCTTGCTATAGAATACACTATTTTTGGTAAACAGCAACACGTTTGATATGTTTAACAGCAATACATATGGATACTGTAAGACAGAGTTATATCCGTATGAAATAAATATTTCCAGAATAGTAAAGTTGCTATAATATCCCAAAGAGAGAGAAAAGCCAAAACTTTGGAGTTATTTTTCTGCATGCAACTTAAACAACAGCACTTGCCCTTTGATTTGCAGATAAAGGCAACGTAACCAAGATAATATTCAACACATGCTGAAAAGCTGAAAGATCAGAGTTCAACACAGCTTCTCCCCCTCTGATAGAAAAATCTCAAACAGGCAACAACATTCTTTTACTACTGGAAAGACTCACTTGAGGCCACAGCTGTATCTACGCTGCTGCTTTCAGACTGCTTGGCTGCACCCCACATTCCCATACACTAAAGGTACAAGCTAAAACAGTGGAAGAATCAGTTTTGAAACGCCCTCTTACATATCTATCCGTTCAAAACAAGTAAGATCAAAAGCAGTTCAGTTTGCTGCAATGCTGACTACAAAATATGTTCTGTGAAGGCTCATCAGGCCAGCCACAGATGGCACTTGAGCAAGGACCCAAGGAGACGAGACCCAAAAGCTCACTCTTCAGGCAAAACACAAAAAGCTTTGGAAAGCTTTCCAGAAAGTACTGAACACAGTGAAAAAACATAACAAGAATGTAAGAAAGTGTTACAAAAATGACCAGAATTACTTTACACCAAGAAGTGGTATTTTAGAGACTTCATGGTTGATTTGAAAAAGGCTTCCCACCACAGGCTGAATCCACAGCCACAAAATGCAAAATTTCAGATTATGTTCTTCCCACCTACTACAGGGCACTCTCCCACTACTTTCATCTCTCTGAGATGCAGAACATAGGTACTAATGGAGAAGATTAACAATTAAAGAACTGCCGTTCCAAAAGACACAGCTTATCCATTATTTTTCCTTGCTGTGTTAAAATAAGCTCATTGTCAGCATTACTTATTTAAGTTCTGTGGTATGATGTTCTCCAGTGAGCAAGAAATGTCTCCTTTGCACTGGTGTGTGTGTGTGTACACTTTTTTTTTTCTATGTTAAAAGAGCATTCAAATGAAATTCAGTTCCCCAGAGCAAGGATAAAGCCAGGGATAGTCCCAGGATGGGGAGGACTTGCTGGGACCACCGGCAGTAGGGCCTGTTTTACACCATCAGGAACACTGTCAGAAAGCATGCTAACAAACAGCAATTCTCATCAGACAGTTATTAAAAAAAATAAAATAAAAAAAAAAATCAGAAGTCCGATGAAAGATTTAGCTGCTCACTAGACTGAACCTCTCAGGCCTGTAAATCAGTCTTTTACACTGAGAACTGTGAATTGTTCAGTGTTCACTTAGTGTTCCCGACTTAAAGTACTGAAAGTAAGATAAATGCAGTAGCCTTCATTTCTCCCCCTTCTCCAGGGAAACCTGGGCTTTAGTTTTACATTTCCCAATTTTCAATAAGCGGAATGGTTCTGAACTACTAGTGCAGCACTACATTTTGTAAAAAATCTGAAGGTATTGAACCACTTGAACTTACTTTGAAAAAGTTGCAGCTTTTGGCAAAGGTATTTTAGGATAATTCTTAGTCACATATTTTGTCCTCAACATTACACTGACTTTCAGTATTCATATATACTTTCTCCTCATCACAGTCTAAGTACACAACTTATTCCTTTTTCAATTGAAGAGGTATTTTATGAAAAAGCATTCAGAGATGGGGTATGCAAAAAGTGTGAAGTCCTTTTTTGTGTATTACATACTACTGCTAATGTGTCCAAAGGAACACAAGGTCCAGGAAACTTGCCTATCTTCGTTAGAAAGTTGGGGTTTTTTGCTGAAAAGCAGCATGTGAAGTGCTGAAAACTACTATTAACAGCATGTACACCAACATTTAATCACTCAGAGAGTTTTTAATAAACAGACCAAAGGACATACCAAAGGCATGCTTACCTCTGCCAACCACAAAAATTCATCAGGACAAAGAAAAAAACCTTACTGGCAGCAGTAGATAATTACTGTTAATTTGCCAGGATTTCCTAGCCGATAGTTTTAAAATACATACATTCCAAATGTGGTTTACCATTTTATTGGACTGTTAAGAACAACATTTCAGTACTTTTGTGTTAACTTGCTAATTTAAAGATAACATTATTTCTGCACAGATAAATGCACTAACATGTACTATAAACTGGAGTTGAGAAGGATCAGAAAGGTGGAAGAAAACCAACAAGTTCCAGAATGATAGGCTTAATGTTTAGACACTTTTGACAGAAATAAAAGTGTACTGAGGAAATAGGAGGGATGAGAATCAAACAAAAAGGAGCTTTTCAAATCAATGGAATCCGAGCAGTAATTAACTGAAAAGTTAGGCTCCTGATTTTAAAACTTGTGAAAATTTAGTACAATATGACAGAACAACATTGGATTATCACACTGTACCTCCTGAAGAAAAAGAATATTTCATTGCATACAGAACACAAGCAATAAACTCTATAGAATTCAGAAGCAAAGACATTAGTTTACAGCATGAAAGTAAACATAAGCTGCTTTTTTTTTCCCCCACACTAAATCCCTTCCAAAGCAGTTCTGTAGCAGGGTCTGTAAATAACATGGCAAAAAGAAAAAATCCGAGACTGACCACACTGACACCAGTGACATGCAAGACAGCTATGTAAACCATAATCCTCATCTTTTAACTGTCAAAAGTCTCACGTTGCCAACTTGAGTGTTCAACATAAATAAGGTTGCATACCTGAAATCAAATTCTCTGAGTTCACTGATCAGGTTCACAGTGTTGTGCCTCCTAAAACCTTTAAAAGCAACTGTACTAATCTGGGTCTCATGCTGCAGAGTACCCAACTTCCATCCATTCCCCTGCTTCTCTTGGGAGTCTCCTCTAGGCAGGCAGACGGCCAAGAAACTCTGTGAGGGGATGGAGAAAGGATCCGTGAAGGCAGGCAATTCTGAGAAATCAAGTTATAGGTATGCAATCTTATTTTTCTCTCTTAAATTGCTCCTTCTACTGAGGACCAGACTAGAAAGCAGCAGTTACCAAAAAAGAAAGGCCAAAGCAAAGATGTGCAGAAAGATTTGGCAAAATTGGGGAATTTCAGGTGACTTTTCTCTAATTTATCTAATAAAAAGACTGGAAGAGCAGGTAATGAGAAGCGCCACAGGCAGGAGAGAGTTATCTTCCTTACATACCCCTGTAAGTTCTGCCACAACTGTTCATTTTAATTAAATAATACTTTAGTTTGGCTGAATAAAAATTGGTGTCTTATTTCCAGTTTCAAAGACCATGTCTGCATATAGATAGAAGTTGTAGTAGGTCAAATAAAGGGTCCAGATAGCCCACTAGCCTGTTTCAAAGACACACTAAAATTAGAACAGTAGCTTGCAATAGATACCTGAGCGTATGAACATAAACAAATACAATATTCTACCAGCTTCCAACAATCTGCAGCTCAGAGAACTCCTGAGCTAGAGATAATGTCTTTGAAGTTAACAGTCCTCAAGTATTTCTCCTCCATGAGTAAGCCCACTTTCTCCTTGAACCCAGGCAAATGTCCACAATAATCTGTGTCGAAGTTCCATGACTTAATTATCTTTACATAGGTTTGAATTTGCTACCTGGCTAGTTTAATTTGTCAGTTCCTAGCTCCAGGCTGGAAGAAATAGCAAACCATTATTGCTTATTCATTTTGTATTTATCCCTGATGATTTTTCAGACATCTACCATATTCCAGTCATTTTTAACCTCATCATATTCCTGCCCACCTTCAAAACCATGAAAAGTGCTATTCCACTTTGCTGTTCTTCATGCAGAGTCTGTCCCATACCTTTGATAATCCCTGTCGCCTCTTCTCAGCTTCTTTGGTGTTCTACACCCTTCAAAGTGTGTAAGGAGGACTGCAGCTACAAATATGAGTCTATGATGCACCCACATATTGAATACCATGTCTTCCATTTCATTGTTTACTCTTTTCTTAATAGTCTGCAACAATCCATTTCCTATTTACTGCTATTCAGCAAGAGGACATTATTTCCTTAATCTACTTAACTATAAACCCAGATCTATTATTGAATGGTATCAGCCATGACAGAGGCTTTTTATGTTTAAAGTTAGTTATATGTTCCCTCAATCACATCGGTTTACATTACATCACCAGCTAGATTACTACCAAGAGTCCCAGTCTTGCAAGATCCTTCTGCAATCCATCACAATTGGCCTTTGTTTTTAACAATCCAAATAATTTGGTATTATCAGCAAACTCTGACAGACCATTTTTTATCTTCAGTCCAAATAAGTGAATGTCTTAAGAAATACAACTCCCAGCACATATTATTCTGAGACACCATTGGTGATCTCCCTTCACTGTGAAAACCAACTGTTTGCACTTACTCTGGTTCTTATCTTCTAACCAGTTATTAGCCTAACTTTTATCTCATGGTCAGTTAGTTTCTTTTAGAGACTCTGACGGTCTTCACTGAAAACCCAATATCTTATCTACTGGATCCTCAAAAAACTTCGATAGATTAATGAGGCATGACTGCCCTTTATAGGAGCAAAACTTATTTCTTTTCCAGTGTGACCAAAGAATGTGTCCCAAAGAATTTTATTACAACTTCTACTATTTTACGTAGAACAGACATCATTCTTCTATAATACTCTAGAGAGGTATAAACACATAACAAGGCCTGATTTACATGGAAATTGAAAACCATGGGTGGGAGACACTCAGAAGTCTAGTCCTGCATGTAACAGTCATTAACCTGGCAGTAGGTGTTCCAGGTTTACCCTACCAAATTAGTTTCACATCAGGCTCACCAAATTTGTAATTATTATCCTTTGACTTGCCACAGGATATGACAAGTCAAACTAGGGCTTCCTCTGTCTGAGATATTACCACCAAAACCAATGGTGGAACTCAAGTTCCAACCTCATTTATACCAATCAGCTCAGTGCAAAGTCAGTGGGAGTTATTCGGTATATAAGGGATCAATAAGCCTTTGAATGTTTTCACTCACTACCAATCCATTATACTCTGACCTACCAGATAGCCAAGAAAAGTTTTCGATGTCAACTTTTGAAACAGATTGAATTCACAGCTGAAGGCTCTAATTTCCAAAGGCACAAGAAAGAAGAAACCTTAGCTTCTGCTTCTCTTTAAACACTGGCAGCCTAAAGACATTTAGGGTACATTTACTCTAATAAAATAAACAAGGCCAGGTCATACTCCTCTGGTTGTCCCTACTGCTGGATCTAATTTCAGGGTTGGTCCTGCACTGAGCACGAAGTTGGGCTAAATAAGCTCTGAGGGTATGTTCCTACCCCAAGTCTTTCTGTGATTCCATTCATCTGTGAGCATCTCTCTCCCTCAGCATGGCACTGGGCTCTACTAATAGCTTTGGCCTGTTGTGTTCTGGACAACATCTGGATGCAGTCTGTGGGACTGCATGGGTCACAAACTGGTCCTAACAGGCAGTATGATTGGCAGCATACTGTTTTGGAGGGGAAGAGGCTTTAGCCATATGGACATGAGCTCTGCTGGGCAACTTGCTGAGCCACAAACCATGCTGTGACAGATTTTGTTTATGAATGCAGGCATAGCTCTAGTGACTTTTTTGAAGCCATAGTATAAATCTGAAAAAAAAAAAATCAGGCCTATGATGTGAAGTTCATATCTGAAAAGAGTATGTTACAGGGATTTTTCTTGTTTTAACCAGCACTTTGTATTTCAAAACATTAAATAAAACACTAATTAGTCCTCATAATACTTCATGAGGAAAAAAAATTGTAAGTGGAGGGCACCTCAACAGCAAGCATCAAATTGACATAGCATATGTCTTTTACAATTTTGGAAACATCTCCAATAAGTGTCAGGTGTCACTCAGTGACAGACCTGCAATTAGGATCACAGAGTTCTTGGCTCCAAATCCCATTTCAAACTTATTTCACTGTCAAAGAATTGTAATTCCCTTACAAACTGATGTCAATTTCGCAAATTAACCATAAGTCAAATGTGACCAGAAAAGTAAATTGCTCATTGTTAGACTTTTACCTTAATTTTTATCTCTAGTGATACTTTTCTGTTATTTTAAAAAAAATATAAATATATTCAGAAATTTTACAAATAGAAAGTGAAGACGAGTTCTCTGATCCCGATCAGCTTATGATATGACAGAACTGATTAGCTAAAAAAAATTAAGTTGAAAGACTGTTTCTGACCAGCTATTTACTGCTTAAGTATTAGAAATAGTTTACCAAAGTATTGTATAATGTATTTTCCTTACCCCATTTTCGTTTTGTGAAATAGGCATCAGCACTAGGGTCATTGAAGTGCCTGCTCATCATAGTCTCTCCTCCAGCATGAAAATCATATGCAAACACAAGAGCTTAAAAACAGAAACAGGTGACAATTACTAACTCAAGCATATTTTTTTAAAAAGTGTCAACGCGTCAGTTGGGAAAAAAAACAAAAAAACTTACAATGTTCTCCAAATGCTTTAGTGGTAAACACTTCACGCAAGGTTACTATATTTGAGTGCTGAATTTTTTTCCACATGTCAACCAATACCATGCACTTTGTGTTAACAAGACGAAAACCTAGAAAAGAACAGAAACCATGGCTTTAAAAGTAATGTTCTCGGGGAGAATTTTTTTACTTTAACATTTCTTCTGAAACTACTGAAAAGCAACCAGAATTAAAATATGACTAGAATGCTTAGGAATGCTAGTCCTACTGAGACAACTCCTTTCTTTTCTCACCATGTATCCTCCGAAGGCAATATGGCAGGTCATCTTTACTATTTACAGCTTTATAGCATGACGTAATATACCCAAAGTTGCTTGTTTTCTGTATCCGATTGGGCGGTGGCAGTGGTTCCAAAGGAAAGAGACTGTGGTAGCTGTCCACTTCTGCAGGAACAGCTAAAATCAGTTTATACACAGAAACATGTTAGGTGTCAGTTGACTTTGAGAAAATTATTATAGTAGCAAAGATTAAAATGACTGTCATTAATCCTTTGCACCATCTTTTAGGTGCATGTAAAGTTAAGATTCACTATTTTTGCTTTAATATCAATACATGGGTTCCTGGAAGAGATTCCACAGAGCTAAAATAACTGTCTTCAGAAAAAAATGTTACGCCAAGTAAAATCAACAGAATAGATGCACAGTTCCATCTGCCATTTTCCCATTTGCCTTAAAAATTCACACTTCTGAATGACCTGTCTTTGGAGGGTTTTTTTTTCTGCACAGATTCATAAATAAGCACCAATTTCCATACAGATTTCATACCACTGTTAAGAACCCCATTTTCCTCACAAAAAAGCAAATCTGAATCTTACGTGTTTTAAAATACTGGTTTAGAAAACAGAGAGAGGTGCTGAAGGTTTACAAATCAGATTAAGAGATTACTCTTACAAGAAGAGATACACTTGTACTTCATCTGGATTAGTAAACTAAACTGCATTTTTTCTTACTGTATCATTATCATATTAAACACACATTTGAGAAGGATACTGCAACCAGAAAAGCAATCTGTTTAAATGAAGTCGAACACAGTCAATTGTAAATTCTCCAAAATCCAAATTACAATGAACAGTATATGCTTCTCTTGCCTGACAACTAGTACAAAGCCTTTCCTGATATACCAGCCAATTCACTTTAAAACAAAGTAATTTGCTCGTTTATATACAGCTTTTGAAAATATATGCATCCTTTAAAGGAATACCTAATATGTACAAAGTAATACAACACTGTTCTTCACGAGGCTTCATTGCCTTTAATGATTTTTCTTTTCTCAGCAATTTTAAGTATTCCCAACCATTAAGGGGTTTCAAAACAGAAGAAAATTACAGAAGAAAAAGAGAATAGAAGCAAGAAACAAATTTCATATTTCTGAAATACTTCATATCTGGTTATCCACAGCCCAGGCTGATGATTAAGGCTTCATGAAAAATTAAAAACAGGTGATGTTTTTTGCAAGATGTTGTTAATATTGTTGAATACGCATGGTTTCAGAACAATATGATCAGAATTTAGTTTATAAGAAACACTTACTTACCAGGAATATCAGCCTGATCAACCTGGGCCATAGTTATTAAGTGTCTGTTGATCAGTTCCTGAAGAACAAATTAAGTCAAGCTTTTAACATTATAATTCAGCTCATCATTTTTGATAAGTTAACAGTACACTGTCTTTGAAGTGCCAGCTACTTGTACTAAAATAGGGAGCAGATACAAGTGTCCGTCACAGGGTGGGGGAGAAGACCACTAGCTTGAAAATGTTAATGACAAAATATATAAATTCTTGAAGGAAGGAGCTGCAGAAGACATACTAGGTAGAGCTAGCATTGACAGAAGCACCTACTACAGTAAAGCTGAAATGACTAACAGTCACAGCCAGCCTTCAGACAAGGGCTCATCAACTACCACCTGCATATACTTCCATTTCAGTGAAAGACACTAAAACTGGATAGGATTACGGCTTAAAGAAATGCTGCATAAATGAACTCATGCACACCAAAACAGTACATGAGAAGTAAGAATACATAGCTGAATAGCAAATCATGGCACACAGATTAGATCGCAGTCACATATGTTGTAACCTGCCCCCACCCTCTGTTGTACTCCACACAGTCCAGGACTTGATTTTTTAAATTCTCCACAGGAAGAATTGACTGCACAGATTTTAAGTGGTTATTTCTCTTCTGCTATTAGCAATTTTCTAGCTTTTGCCAAGATACATGGTTGTCCTTGAAAATCTCTATCATCTTACCTGTCTAAGCTCATCTGCCATGAAGAAGGAAGGTGCATTTGCTTTTGGCTGCATATAAGCAACATGAGGTGCAGCTGGATGGTAAATATGGTAGTTTGGAAATACCTGAAAACAAAACATTTTAAGAAGCCGTTTAAAAACCTTAAGGGGAGGGAACGCAAAGACCCTTTTAGTTTGAACTACTGAACTACTAAGTCTTCTTGCACAGTACATGTTACAAATATACTGTCAGATACATTACAATTTCCTTACATGACATTCACTACCAATGATTTCAAGGAGGTGTGTATATCACAGAATGGCAGGGGTTGGAAGGGACCTCTGAAGATCATCCAGTCCAACCCCCCTGCTAAAGCAGGGTCACCCAGAGCAGGTTGCACAGGACATCATCCAGATGGGTTTTGAATATCTCCGAAGAAGGAGACTCCACAACCCCCCTGGGCAGCCTGGTCCAGTGCTCTGTCACCCTCAAAGTAAAGAAGTGTATGTATGCACATAGTTATTTTAACATTATTGTAACTGCCTTTTCCCCTCCACTGTGAACACAGGAGTTATTTAACCTATCAGAAAAAAAAACAGCCTGAATTTTTGATATTTCCTCATTATGTATGTATCCACTGAGCTATACATACAATGCTTTCTTTCTATTGCTGTATAAAAACCCCCAAACTCTACATAGAGGTAAATGAAAATACATAAAGAATTCTCTGGTCCTTAAATCTCAGTGATTTTGGAGAACAATTACAACAATTAAAAGGCAAAATCTTCCTCTAGAATAAGGGTTTCAGAGTGTTAAGAATATCTCTGTAGTATCAACCAATTCAGCATCTGGAAACTCCATACATTTCTGTATCAAAAGCAAACATACCATTCCTGTGAGAGGCGCTGGAGTTGTATCAGTGTAGAAGTAGGTTGTTCCACCCACTGTTTCCTTCTGGATCACCTGGCCAGTAGATGGAGGCTGAGAGACAGCATTAGCAACAGAAGCAGAGGCACTAGTAGGCACCATATAGTTTGCTGGGTTAGGAGTATGACTTCTTCTTCGAGGAGCAGGAGATGTATGAGGAGTTATTTTGGGGGAATGAAGAGGAGAAGATCCTGCTGACAGTGACATTCCTTAAAGAAAGACAAGGAGATATACTTGATCAAATCTGTCATAAAAAAACCCTAGCAATTTGAAAAAAACCAGCCTTCACTACCAGCATTCTGTACCAATAATATTCCGAGCAGGTGAGACAGTTAAGGATTGCTACATCTATATGAAGAGTTAAGAGGTAAAACACTAAGAGCAAGACTGAACAGATACATTTCCCCAGAAATCTTTGCTTAGTTCAGAGAGAAAGGGCTTGGAAACTTACAATCTACACATGAAGAACTGGAGTGAAAGATGTAGTAGTAGTAGAAAGGGGGAGAGGAATCAAATTAATGCTGTGATTAGAAGAGAGTTTATTAAACTGCAAAAAGAGAAATTATTAATGACTATATGAGAAGTGAATGTTTACATAAGTTACATGAGCAGTCAATGGAGTTTGCCAAGCTGTAGCTCACTTCACCCAATTACGTGTGTACCTTTTACTACAACCAACTCCACAGCTATGATATTAGAGCTAAATCTCCAGTAAACACAAATAACCCCCACACAATATGCTATTTTTAATAATTTCAGGGGAGAAATTACCTGTTTTCCTATAATTATTATATTCAAAAGTCATCCTCCAAAAGATTTATTTGATATGTAAAGATAGGTAACTTCTCAGAATATGAAGTCTGTTAGGAATTCATGCTGAGAGTTTCAAATTTATTTGAAATTATCCTACTGACTGGTGTTCAGCCTCCACATTAGACAGGCAACTCAACTGCAACTTGAGAAGCCCAGCTTCTAAACAAAGTGCATCAGTGGGGAAAAGTAACAGCAACTTTTTTGCATACACACTTTCGAGTTACCAAAAACTAGTTTAGTTACTTCAAGAGTCATTGTACGCAGAATTCTCAGATAGGCCTATTTATAAATAAGTTTAGACATGAAAGAAACCTTCCGGGGTGAGGAAGAGATTACCCTTCAGAAAACTCCTAGTATTACTAGTGGAAGATCCTAGATATCTGGGTTAATTACATTATTAGATTAATACAAAGACAAGCATCTACAAAACTTCTTGTTGCTCAGTTCAGATTGGGATGCAATTTCTCTTTTTTAACAGTCAGAATTTTATTAGTCATACTAAATTCTGTTTTTGAAAGGATGTAAGATACACAACCATTACATTTAATGGTCTATGGACAGCTGAGAATTCTTCTCTAATTAAAAATTCAGTTAGTTGGTAAACAGAGCTTATAAATGGAAGTAATTTAAGCAAGTATCTGAGTAACAAAAATAAGAGCAACCTTTTTTTTGCACACACACGTTTTAGCTACCAAAAGCTAGTTTAGTTACTTCAGTCAAGAGTTGTTGTACGCAGTTCTCAACATGCATCATCGGTAATGTGTAGGAGTGTTTTTACAGTCGTGTCTTGTCTCTACAGTAGTCGCATCCCTCCTACATTTACCTTTTTCTTTTTTTGAACAGACCACAAAGCAAATAATTTTAGTGTTAGCAGTTTAATCAGTAGTTGGGGAAAAATTATTTTGAAGCTGTATTGTCCTAATGATATTAACAGAATATTTGTAACCAGTCATTTAGCTCCAATCATTTGCTTTTTTGACATCTCAAAACCTATGCATATTAATTCAGCATAATTATGTCTGTCTTTCTTGAAAAGTGAATAGTTCCAAAAAAAATAAACAAGATTTTTTAAATATAAACCATAAGAAAACCTTACACCTGTCTCATTAGTTTGGTCTCTTCAAACACTTATTCTTTTTATAAAATATTAAAGTATAAAATATAAGAATATGAAAATTACAAAAATATAAAGTCTAGACTTTTCTGGACCAGAACTTTTCTTTATATTAATACATGTGTGTGTGTGTGTACACACACCTTACGGATAAGCAATACTGTGGAATAATTGCTTGCTGATTATTGTATTAACTTAAAATGTTAGTTATAACAGGCACTTCTGAATGTTTACTTTTTAAAGTACTTCTGAATGGTAACATCAGGAGTCCCCTAAAAATCTGTTTACAAACCAACTGTATGACTAAAATGCAACATGTTGTTATAGCCCTGGTTTATGCTACAAAAGAAAGTAAGTTTCCATTAAGGTAAAAGTTGCTTGAGTGACTGACACTTAAATATTTCAATAGCTACTGTAAAGATGGTTACATTTTTTTAAAAAAGACTAAAACACGGATGCATTCTTAACCTGCTGTGGGAAAAGAGCAATTTCAAAGGAAATAATATTTTACTCTTAGAATTTGAAGGATGGCTAACTAAAATGGCCATAAAACTGAAGCAACTCTACAATTTGTGTCTATGATGTTCAAGGGATTCTCTTCATTTAGGGGAAGTTATTGACATGTCCTTTTCACTCCATTCCAATAAAACACAGCATTAACTTAAGTCGTTGCAAGCATGTAATCTCTACCCAGATAGAAATAAACTTCTTTTTTTTTTCTTTTTTTTCCTCCAATAAAACGTTCAACTGTAGGAATCGGGGAAAAAGACACCAACAGTCTTCATATATAGTAATGAAAAATTAACTGAAGACTTCTCCACTTTAAAGTAAAAACTGTATGTACAGGAAACAGCATACTGTAAATCTTATCTTCAAAATGAAAGTGATGACTTGCAACCTCACTAAAATTATATTGCGACCTTCTACTAAAAGTTCCCCAGAAAAAAAATAGAAAATCTACCACTAGCAATTGTTACTGAGATACTTTCAAACAATTTCCACTGTAAGATTTAATTTAAAAAAAAAAAAAATCTATGCCTGCTGAAGAACAGTTGCAAATATAAACCCTTAATGTGTTTGCCTGCAGTATTAATGCAAGATTGAAAGAAAAGGAAGACAGAGTTACATAAATCCTTTCAAATGCCCTTCCAGCCTCAGTTAGGTCTGATTTTGGAAGGACATTGACAGTTCTGGGGTACAGAACATACAGGCTTCTCGTTTGCCAATAGACATAGTAAGTTCAAGATATGAAAGAAGCTTGACTACAGTTTGGTTTTATAGTACTAGAACAGTATACTCCAAGTTATAAGACATTTGCTGCTAGTGCCATGGTGGGTACTGACAGGCTGAGGCAGCAAATATTCAAGGTCATCAGACACCTGCATTAAATTCTGCAGAGTCTAAATAGTTAAGTATTAATTATTAGAAGTTCAGTATCACATAAAAAGGAAAAAGCTTTTAATACAGTGAAACTGATGCATAGCCAAGTACTTACAGAAGCAAATAACTGGGTGCACAAACTCAGGCAGATCTCACCAACTTCATTAGTATTTCAACCACTTAAAACCTTACTAATATTAATATCTAACTACCAAAAAATAGAATTAAGAGGAAAATAAAGGAAAATGGCTGTATTAAAAGGTGAACATATATTCCTACTGACTCATACTGAAGGAAAAATATGGTATTGAACATATGATGGTAACAATGTGGTGAATATGGTACCACCCCTCACAGAATTGGACATACTGTTTTCAATAGCACAATTTAAATAAACACTCACTTAATGGCCTAATAAATAAACAGGGTTTGAATAATCTAATTATGAGTTATTTATATATATATATTTAATCATATCAGTGAGCCTGACCAAAAAAAAACCAAACCCACAACATTTTTAAGCTTTCCTTATAAGACAGTTTAGTGTTCCCCTATATTAAAATGTTCTAAGACAAACACCAAAAAGCCTGCTTCAAATTGTCCTTCCTGAGATTTATCTACTAGTAAAGGTGGCTCTCCATTCCTTGTCTCAGTGAATCTTAATACCCTTCATGAAGAAGTCAAATACTAACTTGAAAGGTAAAATGCAAGGAGAAAGGGCTTCTTTCACTTCACAATTATTTACATCTGAAAAACGGTGTCATGGCATACAGCTGCCGTGGTATCATACCAACATGGAAATGGTTGTGAGATTTGAAGATCTTTTCACAATATTTACAGTGACTGCACAGGCTGCCTACACATACCTGGAGCTCTTGCTGCTATTCTCATTTTAGGTAGAGAAAGAGGTCGTATTTACATATCCCTCTATTACTATATTTTCACTTCTTGCATTGTTTTTTATTTTTGAAGTTTCGTTATGACTGAGGAAAAGGAAGCGGTAGACTTTGAAATTCATTTGAGACAGTGCTCAAAGATATTTTATGAGATTAACACTTCTAATAAAGCTTTGTAGCATACCATGTATTTGAATTAAGAGCCAAGTTGTGTTTTGAATCTGAGAATACATACAGATAAACAGGATCAAAGAAAGGGCATCAAGCGTAAACTTTCATTAAGGACTCAGAGTTTACAGGTTTTTGGATTCAGTGGAAGTTTACAGCTTATGAAGCAGGCTTTCATTAAGCTCATGTGTATACAAAAATCAGCTGGCCTACAAAAATAATTTTTAAAAAACAGAGGAATCCAATAAATGTTCTACACATACTTTCTTACTTTTGCCTATAAATGTACTCATCTACAACCATATACCTATACTTCTAAGGCTCAAAACACATTCAGAGGTCAAAAATTAAGCATTTACCATTTCATTGCTATAATGTTTTGTACTTTAGAAATACTCTAGATCACTAGGTACATTTTGAGGAATGACTAAACAAAGTAAATAATAAAACCAGACTATTTCAATAACTTCTTTCAAGCAGCATCCTTAAATTCACTGTATATTTTGTTTTATCATAAGCACTCTATCAGGTCATTAGCATTACAGCTGAGTATTTCCAAGTTAATCAAATCTGCTTAATTCCCTAAACAACATCAGAGTCGTAAGTTCTTTCTCCTCAATTTTATTTGGGATAAAACTAACTTTACGATCTCTTTGCCTTCTTCCTCTCGTATTATTCTGGCAAGACTGTGGAACTTTCTCAGCAGAATGGCTGCACCATCATTGATACGGGAGGTCGGAACAAGCTCTCAGTGCCTTAGGCCACTCAAACCACCTCAGCTGAAAGTGGTCCGTTAGCAGCTGAGGTCACAAGCTCCGAGAACTACACTCTCGTAGCCCGTCATGAATGGAGATGTGTCAACGGGACACAAGTACATCACCTTCGTGCTCCTGGCTCCTAAGCCTGCAGGTTCAGCCTGGCAGCACAAACGGAATCTCTTACATTCTGCGTAAGTTCAGAGCCTATCTTGGACTAAATATAGAAGCAACAGCAATTTGCTGTCCCATCGATGACAAAGGCATCGCTCTTTAGCTATAACCTAGCTTAAGCAAACCCAAGCCAGACAAAGATTTTCTCTGCTGGGGGCTATAAATCTGTTCTCTCTCCAGTTTAACACAGCCATGATGTCTTATCACTTCGATGACATTAATTAATTTTTCATATGTTTTGCTGCATATTTTAATGGCATTACTAGTCTGAAACCACTGCACAGAACTGGATAAGCTAAACTTGTTAGCAGAAGTACTACTTGAAGATTGTCAATGACTCACTAAATTTCCCATACAAATGATAAACAGGATGTGTTTGCTAGCAAGGGAACGGAAGGAGCAAAACCAGGATATTATCCAGGGGAGCTTAAGGAAAGAAGGTTTGGAGAGGGTAAAGGAGATCTGTTCAAAGCTCTTCAATAGGACAATTTTCTCCAGCTATTTGTGTAAGTTTCACTTTATCTCACTATGTTTTCATATTGTTAAAGGCTACCGAGATGAAGACTGACTCTGTGTTGAGATTATGCTAGAAAGCACTTATCTAAGTAAACACACGTGAGAGTAGGAGTAACCTTCTTCCACACTACACCCTAACAGATATGTCAAGTGTGGATACAAGAAATTATCTATTGAAGTAAGTTAGGTTTCAGCTGTCATTTTTCCCAGTATTTCTGCTGTACTGGTGGAACAAATATTTTCCAGGGACAATCGATTTTGTGAACAGTTGTTGTAGAAATACTAGATGTCAAAAGTAGTTTTGATTTACACCTACCTTTAGGGAAATCTCAGAAATTAGAGATGTGAAAGGACTTTTTCCATCCTCAAGAAGGAAACCAAAGGATTGTTCTCATCATTTACCTATTTTGTCATGGGTGAATTAAACTACAGAACTTTCAACAAATTATTCCTTATTTCTTAAGAAAGGTTCATTCCCTCCAGTACCCTGTAAGCTACTATAAGCAATCTTAACCTCGTGCAAATGCTTAAGTCTTACACATTTCCTGAAAGTTATTCTACTGGAAAACATATACCATTTAACTGGAAGGAGACTTTTCTTGATTTAAAGGAAAATGATTACAAACTCTTTACATGGGTTTCACTTGAATTTGTTTTCACTTATTGAAAGCTAACAGATCCTAACAATATTTTTAATGACAATTTCAGAACATATTTAAATCTTTTTTTATTCTGTTATCTAGCATGACCTAAATGGTGAAGTTTCCCCACACTGCTTTCTTATTTAAGAGACTAATCTTTTAGAAAGAGCACCTCCTAACTCACCCTAAGTAACAGAAGTTTTTGTGGTTGTATACTATTGACAACCAAACCATTTAAATAAAAGTAAGTGTCTATGAGTATTATTTACACAGGACATTTAGGTTCAGAGAATTCTGCGCTCAGTGTAGAGAAAGAAGCTTCTAGGGAAATTAAGAGCACCTAATCCAGATCCCGACTCTGAACTATATGCTCTCTTTAATTATACAGGAAGAGCAGGGAAACAAGCCAACTTTGCCCGAAGTTAGCTCCTGTGAATACTTCCCCATCCCTCTCATCCATAAACAATAGTATTTGAACCGAGATAGTTTTCAGCATTGGCATCTGCTAGGAGCTCAAATTGTTGTACGAACTTCTTTCATCAACAGTGTTACTTATCCTTTCAAGTATTACTTACAGATAGTAAAGAAATTGGACTGTGAAGGATCCCTCTGAGACCCCACTGGACACTTTCCAAAAGTAGATCATTTTACTGTATTTTATTTAATCCTTTATACACTTTTCAATCCAGGTGACAAGGCTGAGAGGCATATAAACACAACAGTTTTCCAATAAGACTGTACAGCACAATATAGTATGAATCAGACACAGTACTGCAACATGTTCATTTGGTCAGCAGAAGCAACAATCACTTTCCGAGCCTGTTCCAATGGTTATAACACATGAACTAAGTGCTGGCTTCTTTCACGTTGATGCTGAGATTTATCCCCTGGCATCAGGAAAGACTGAAATTCACTTTAATAGATGGTAATTGCCAATACTGGCTTAAAAACCCAAACATTTACAATATTTGCCTCTCTGCGTTTCGGCAGCTACTTAATGCTGCTTCTTGTTCTTTGCAAGAGATTGCTGAAGGTTTAAGTACATACAGAAACCTGCTAAAGGATCTGTGATGTGTAATATTCAGATCTGCTGATAGCTGTATCTTAAAACTATTTCATTAAAAAAATATTAGAATTTATTTTTTAAGATCAGGAGTCCAAGAGATGCATCTTTAAAATCAGATCTTGAACTTTTTAAGTGTAAAAAAAAAAAATCTTGTCACTCAGAATTGTATGACTGCATGGAATACATTTCACTAAGAGTTTTAAACATGGGAAATTATCATAAATTGGTCTTAAAAGTGAGATTACATATGACATACAATAACAATTAACACTACTTTGCAAGGCAAATTATTTTAAAATAAGTTTCTACGCTACTTTTTGTTTTTCATCAAGATTTAAGGCCTCATATATACTCATTAACATTGAGAATAATTACTTCTAGATTACATACCCTAGAAACAAATCTAAAGAGCAAATCAATGTGTGGTAATCAGAGCACATGGCCATTGTAGACTGCAGTGCATTTCTAGACTAGGGGTAGTTTAAATCATCTTCAGGTACTGCTCCAGCAAGGACCACATAAAGCACAGTATGTGACAACTCAGCACCCCTTTTCCCCAAAAAGAGCAGAATAAAAGTTAGGCTGAGTTAATTTCAGTGCTGCTGTGGCTGAACAGATTCACATTCTGCACTGTGATTTCCATACTACTGGAAGATAAATCCCAAGTTCCTGCACTTTTATATGCTTGAAGACGGTCTTAAAATTAAGAGCTAAAGCAGGAGATGGCTACATTTATACCAGATAAACCTGATCACTGTCTATTCAGGGTTATGTCTGACATGAAGTTAAAAGAAGCAACTGGTACTGCAAATCATTACTCTTAACTTACCTGGTGCTAGCCCAGCAGTGGCAGGACTTCCCATGGAGGGGTGAGAGAACAAGGCTTGAGAGAAGGCAGACATACTTGACTGGGATACATTACTCAGCCTGGAGGTTGATCCTCCTTTAGGAATAAACTCACTTGCAGAAGGATTTGGTGTCTGTTTAAAAACAAACGTAAATTAAATGTTTATTTTAAATGTGAAGAGATGGACGGTGCCTATTTAGTAGAAAATACTTCCTAGGCAAGCCTACCGAGTGCAGGGAATATTTTTAAGTTACATATAGCTTGCTGACAAGAACAGCAGATACTAGAAGCTGGTCTGCACGAACAAATTTAAATGCATTTCTAGCTTACATCTGAAGTAGCATTAGCAAGCTTTCCACATGAATAGATGATGTATGAGTTCATACAAACACTTTGCAAAGGCTTTCCATAAGCATTACATTATAAAGTTGGAGAACAGATTTGACACTGAGAAAGCCTTGTCACTGCTGCACAGACTGTTCCTACGTGACTTTAGAGATTTCATCTCAACCTAAGCAGCAGTTTCAAATGAAGTAAATGATTCCTACTAAAGAAGTCATCCCTGCCTCTATTTTAAATAGGCCTATATATTCCTTTTTTGTGAAGTTAACTTCTGTTTTAATTACCTATGCCTTTTATGTAGCACCTTTAATAATGAGGTTTAATTTGGTACCACAGAAACAAACAGCAGCAGAGCAACCATCAAACATTCAGTATTTCCTAGTACATAAAACATATCACACAACCATTCCATTAAAATCTGTGCACAGTGTTTTGTAGTTTGGGGGGGCTGTTTGTTTTGGAGTGAGTTTTTTGTTTTGGGGTAGGGAGGGTTAGAAAAAGAAAACCCTAATTAGAGCTTAAAAGGCAAAAAGCTTATTATTGGACAGACAATTACAAAAGACATTAGATGAAGAAAAAAGAAATTAAGACAAGAAATAAAACCAATTATTACATGAACACACTAAAAAGCTTCAAGATTATTAACTGTCAAAGTTAAGTTTATTAAGTAATTTTCAGAGTACCTCTCAAAAGCATCTAAACAAAAGAGGTAAAATGAGAATACAGTAACAACTCCCAATAGACAAAGGATATTAAGATAATCCGTAACGTTCTTTTAAAGCAAACTACATTTGATCACTTTGGGTTTTGGCAGTTCTAAAATGACAAAATATATCAACTGTTAGTTAAATTGCCAATATTGATTTTTACCAACATGAATAAAGTGGCATCAGAGAACTTAATTTATTGCCAAATTAGAAAAGAAGCAGGATCACAAAACACTAATTTAGACAGTGAAGTATTTGAAAAGTATTTTTTCTGTTAATTTGGTTTTAATATCTTTATTTGAATACTTCAGCCAAATATCATAGTATTAATGTATTTCAAAGCACTGGAAAAGAGAGAGGATTCTAAAAGCTGTAAAATAATAGGGGATGCACAGGTTCAAAAGCAAATAGTAAGATAATTCCACCTTTAATCACACTAAATTTTAACTGCTAACCACCTTACGCTGTTACGTATTAGTCATTCTATATGCGCATGTCTCTGAATATTCAAAGAACAGCTATCATCAAATATGTAGACTGGTGAAATAAAACACTTAGATTACATGGGTAAAAAGTTCGTAAGAATCTTAGAATTCTCCAATCACATTTAGTTAAGGAAAACTTGCTCAGGCATACACTAATACAGCAAATCAAATGGTAAGTTGCATTATACAGACTGAAAACAAATAACTGATACATTTAAACTCAAAAGGTAATATTCCAGACATATCTGAATTTTAGGTACAGGAATAACTAAGAGAATAGTGTTCCTCTAGATAAAATGTGGCATGCAGCAATTCAGTCAAATCTGAACTGAAACTGGAGAAAGTGGTAGAGGTGGTAAAGGACCACGTAGAATTTGTCCGAATAGTGATACAGCTGAAAAGCCATCATTAACCAAAACAACTGGGAAAGCAAGGGACATCTTGTTAAAACCACATAATTTCAAAGAACTACATGAGATCCACGTTTTTCCACTGCTAAAACTAGCCATGACACATCCACAGATCTACCACACCTAAATACTGTGTCGAGTAGGTAACAAGGGCAGGACACAGCAAAAAAATTTACAAACGGCAGTGGCTCAAGCCTGATGGAAATTCAGTTTTCATTCCATTTTTTGTCATCACAATTCAGGATCAGAATCAAAGCCTGATAACATTAAGTTGTTTCTATATAACTTTGATGAAAGCATTTTATATGAGTAAACAGCTTTTGATTTGCACAGCTAGACCCTTTACTATAAAAGCATGGTTTACTTCTCCGTGATGTTACAAACATGGAGATGTAATCCAAGACTTTCCCTGTTGGTAAAAAAAGCGATTTAAACTTTGATTTCAATTTTAAAAGGTGCTTCCACATTCAATCTGTTTTCTAAATACAGAAAAATACCGAAGCTCCACAGCCACCAGCCAGAATAAACTAATCATAAACTACTAGAACAAAATTTAATAATTCGTGGTCAAAAATAGTTAATACTTTGTCAGAAAATTTGAAGCTTAAGCACCAGGCCACATTTAAATAGGTTACATCTATGCGAAGCTGCATTTCTTAAAGTGTTTCCAAAAGCACACAAGTTTTCATCAGAAATGAAATACTGATTTTTCTGCGACCGCACTTCCATAGCATGTAACCTAGAATAAGTCATTAGACTAGCCTAAGTGAGGGTATGGAATATCACTATTAGTTCTTTAATAGTTAATCTTTTCATTATTTTTCAAACTTTGTAAACAGCCTATTCTGCATCGGTGGGCATGTAAATATGCCAAAAATTAGGAAGCCACATTCTTAATGGCCAATGATACAAAAAATTATGTTCTTGGCCTGAAAAAATATCCTACTTTCAGTCTGGCAACTCATAATACAACATGTTAATTTTACATTTGGATCAATGGTATTCTTGAAAATCTGTCTAGAAGGGGACTATGCTTTAAAATCCTACAGGGCATTTTTATAGTTCTTCTGTTAGAACCTTACCAAACATTCCAAAATGAAGTTGAATAAAAAAAATTAAATTTTCATAAGAATGAAAATAATCTGTATCTAACTAGTGAAAAACATTTTCTTCATTCTGTATTATGTTTACATTTCCCACGAGCACAGCTTTAAAACAAATTTCACTTAATTAGTCACTAATTACTCATCTCAGAGTAGGGTAACTTACTCATGCTAGACCAGGCTTAAAGTTTTAAGTCTGAGTAAATCAGATTAGCAAAAATTGTAGAGAAAAGAGGTATAGAAGACTTTTATTAAACTTTGGGAGTAATTAAAAGAATGGAGATGCAAGAAATACTTAGAGGACATGTAATGAATTATTCAATACTGTGATGTTAAAGACAAAAGCAGTGAATGCACTTTCTAAAGCCCAAACAAGAAACACAAAGCCCGATAGCACTGTCTGCACTATGCAACAAAAGAAAGACTGTATTTTCAGTTTCAAATGCAAATGTCCTATAAAAAGGCACATAAAAAATTATTTCAAAACATTAATTAACAAGCTTGAAACAAACAGCATTAAACAGAAACAAGTACAGCTGTGTCAGCTATGTTAAATTTTTCTAGCAACCCACCTAAAGTAACTTACAATTCATACATCTACTAAAATTACAACCACTCATTTTTCTTCTCAACCTCGCCAGTTTAAATCTCATCTCCCTTCTTGCAGCACATTCATAAAAATACTGTCAAACTAAAGCAGATAAGCAACTTACCTAGGCACTATCAGAATTAATATCTGCATCATGCATTCCTACCAGAATGACTCCATGAAGAAATTTCACTACAATACCCTATTTTCAGATTCTTTGTCTGTGCTTTCTCAGAGAGAAGAGCCTCTTTTCAGTCAGTTTTGCAAAGCAACTTCCAAAGACAGACCACAAAACTGAGTCTATCCCGCACCACATACAAAACCCACTTCTATGCTTCCATACATGAGAGAATGCAAAACGTTATAAAACACATACAAATACAGTCCAAATGAAGGCTGAATTTAGTCATGATGCAATTAATAAGTATGGAACCACAAGAGAAGTAAAGAAGGAGGCGAGGGAAGACTATAAAACAACTAATTTGTGTCACCATCCGGCACAAATTTCTCTTGTCTGGTGGCTTTTATGCTTTTAAAGATGTAAAAGAAAATACAATTAAATATAGCATGGAGGGCAAGAAATAAATATTTTGTAGGTACCACCAAAAACCAATTCAAAGCTCCTTAAAGGAAGATGCAGATGAAAGTAAAGAGCAAGCCAAGGATCTCAGCTGAAGACCATTGCTGGGAGGACCTCACAGTAGCATGCAGCACTACTGTAATGGTGAGGAGTTGCACACATCAACAGATTTCCACAGTCCAGAAGTAAAATGAAAATTCCTGTTTCATCAGCTATCTATTTCAATGCATACGCTTTTTTCTCTATGCTCTTCAGTGATAAAGTCCTAAGGCCCCACTGCTGCATTCATTCGTAAATGAATCCTCAAAGTGCCATGAAGTACCGAAGTATGCTGTAACACAGGGATGCACAAGTTATGGAGCCTTTGGAAGGTTATGCAGGGATCCCATAGGAGTACTGGAAACCACCCTTCTCTCTCTTGTTCCCAGTTCAGCATCTCACAACCCAGGGCCACACAGCAGCAGCAGAGCCACCACCTCTGTTTTGGTGGCTGTAACGCTACTCCGATAGATCGGTTCTGGTCCCACATTCTACCAAAGCCAGCTACCTAAAGCAAAACGTAGGCAGATTTCATTCGATTTCGGAAGAACATGCTAATGTACTTACCATGCTAAAAACTGGATACAAGCCTTTTTGTTCTCTTTTTATGTTCTCCTTCACCTCCAAATTCATGCTGATCTGTTCTGACATCCCAAATTGCATAATCCTGTAATGGTTACAGAAAACCACCACTAAACTATACCCATGCTATAAGCAGGGCAGTCCTTTACCAGTCTATTTTTGGCATATTTTTCAGAATATCTCTTAGGAATCCAAAAACATGCAAAAGCGTTGCTCATTTTTTATGTGTGGTTACTTTTTTGTTGTTTTGGGAGGTTTCTCTGTTGTTGTTTTATAATCGACAGATGGGCCATACAAGGAGCTTCACTTTACGTATTACTCTGCTTCTAGGAGGATTCCTTGTTAACTATGACATCAGGGAAGGACACATTCTGGGATGTCAGAGCAGCCCAGCAGACACTGGAGGTCACCAAGGGCTTCAAAGCAAGTCTCTATCCCTCCCACCATGGAATTTGTGCAACATGCTTGCTTATCACAATTCCTGTGACAAGTCATCACATCATCCGTACAATAAGCTCTAAAAAATTTCAATTCATCAAGATTATTAGCCATATTGCTCTACTGCTCTTTCAGAAGAGTTAGAGACAATTTCATTAAAACTGGGTAAAATTTATTGGCTAAAGACTTTTTTTAAACCAGAACACAGGCTCAGACAAATAAAACTACTAGCAAAGTTTTGTTACATTTTAGCAAGTAGATCTCACTAAAAAGTAAACTTTTAAAGACTCATATTACCACATTTCTTTAACAAATACTTCACAGTACTGTAAAAACTATAAAGTTTTAGAAGTCCATGTTCTTGATGCAAAATATTTGAAAATTAATTTCTATGGGGTTTTTTTTGTTCAAGAAACAACAAAAAATCAGTTATTTATGGTGATTAAGAACCGATCTGTATCACAAAGAACTTACCTATTCCTACTATTTTAAGTAGAATTGCCATTTGCTATTTATATATATAAATAATATAAATCACGCAGTGGTGTAGTAGCTCAGGATATTTCCTAACACATGGTAGGCCATATCACTGAAGAACAAACTTAGATTTGTTTTTTTAATGCACAACCCAGAGTACAATTCATTCTGTAGACTCCACTTTTAATCATGTAAGTGTAACACAGTATTTAAATTTAATAGATCTGGATTATAAATTCATAGCCATGCATGAGAAACAGTTACACTGTTTTACAATGCATGTTGTAAACTACCTTGCTTTTTAAAACAGCCGCTTTTTGGAGAAAAATCTCTTAACACTGCACCATGAAATAGTGTATTCCCACATCTTAAACCACACATTTAGAAGAGTGGACGTTTAAATAGACACATGATCTTCAACACCTGCCCAGCACTGCAAGCCCTCAGCAATTTTGAGATGTAATTCTGCTTTCTCATCTTCAAACATAAATGAAAAAAGATACCCTCAAACAGATGTGCCTCCATCATAATTTAACCTTTCTACTTACTGCTTAGCACTCACCATCAGCCAGAATTTAGTTTGTATAACCTACATTCACACCTGCAAAAATCTCTAAACAGCTTGTATTTCAAAATACTGAAGAGCAATGCTATCTGTGGATTATACACATACTGAAGTAGAAAAATAAGGTCAATTTGAAATCTCAGCATGAAACTACCCGTTAAGTAGTTTTACAAACCAAGCTTCTCCAGCCCTTTTTTGTGCTTTTATAATTAAAATTTCCAATTTTTAGCAGTTTTCAAGCTTTGTTTTAGCTCTTAGAAAACATTCAAACTAGAATACAAAGATTTACAATGATCAGAATGAAAACATAAAGATAAAATTCATTTTCTCATCTATGTGGAACTTTATATATCCTCATAATCTCTGCAGCCTGTTTTTACACCTTTCCCCATTCGCTCTTTCCAGACTCCACTGTTCTCTGCAATTCCTCCCCCTATTTCCCATGGCTAGAACATCCTTCTGTTTGTATTTCCACCAGCTATGCATATAAATGCTTTTCCCAGGTCTCATGTCTCCATGGGAAGCTATGTAATTGCATTGTATAATACAAAATCTTCGGCTGTACACAGTTTAAGTCAATTATGTAGCTGGGATTCTGGCACAATAAAGGGGTTGGAATTGCACCCTTCAAAAGCTACGTGGTCTGCAGCCAATCCCAAGCTATTGCCGCTAATCTTGAGGGAACCCTGAGCTTCTCATTACCACACTTTCAACAGAACTTTGGAGGGCATAGGTACTGGAAAAGACAATTGCTCCTGGCCAGAAGCTCCACATCTCAGACTACTAGCTCTCCAGCGCCCAGAAACATTAAGTTTTTCTGCTATAAGTGGAGTAGATCAATGACAAACCTTGCTGCAACACAGAACAGCAGAGAAAACGATGGCGGACATGACTATAAATGGGGCTTTTCCTGCCCTCTAACATCCACAGGAAATTTGAAGACCAATTTTCTGCTTCTCTCTTCTCAAAGCAACTGCCTATTAATTAAGGTTTGCGCTCCCATTAGATACACATGGTAAATTCAATCCATCGGTCTTCTCCTCTTGAGAAAAATAGTGCTTCACTCGCTCCAACCACGCCTCTGCAATCATGGCTGGTGCTTCTACCAATGTTTCCTTTATGCTTCGTCTTTACCGCCCTAGTGGCTTTGCTGCAAAATGCCCTGCAGCAAAAGGGCCAAGACAGACTTAAGCCCAAATGCCCCTATGCAATGTAGCATCAGTTTGCCTGCATCATGCTGCCCATGACTCCCAATTTCAGTAATGCAAAGATGCCCAAACACCACGTAGTGCAACGCTAGTATTGGTACAGAAAGGCTGTGTTACAAACTTCATGTTGGCTCTTACATGGCAGAACTTTCGTGAACTGAAAGAAATTCTTAAGGTGCCACAAATTCTAGTTATATGTCTACTGTCAATTTACCCATTTCATTCAGAAGACATCAAAAAGAACATAATCCTCATAGAAAGACTAAAGTAACGATCTCTGAAGAATCAAAAGCACCACACAAGTGCAAAACAGTAATAGGAGCAGTGTTGTAGTTTTGACCACTAGAATAATTTCTGTCTAAACCTGATCTTAAGGGACATCAAGCAGATTCCTCCCAGACTAGAATTATCCTTATCATTCCAAGGATAACCTGCTACTTCTGTAGGAGATCTGCTCAAATCCAGCTGTACCTGACCCCTCTTAAGGAGTTGAAGAAAAATCAGAAATAAAGTAACAATGAAGTTTAACACACAAGTTGAGAAATATGAACTATCCCAACATAAAAATTAAGAATTTACACTTTCTGATCATAGTGGTAACATTTTCCAATTCTGTACTGAAGGAGTTTTTCATTGGCATTAAGTATCAATCATTTTAATGAAGATCACTAATTTTACCATAGAAACCTTCCTCACATGAAAATTAAATTAAAAGGTTGTGTTTGTTTGCTTTAAAAATACATTTAATGATTACTTTTGCTCCTCCTCCACAGATTATAATATAATCAAGCAGAGTACATAGCACAGCAGTGGGTGAAGAGAATGAAACATCTCCAAGTCACTCTCTTGGAGGGCCACAAGGCCTACGTTGTGAAATAAATATTTGATCCAATCTCAATTCATATTTGGAGTAACTGCTTCTAACATTTTCCAAAATTTTAAATAAAGCATCCAAAATACTGAAAAAGTGACTAGTAAAAAGTAATTTTACCTGTAAATTGTTTTCTGTGACTCTGTTCCACCAAACCATATTGATGGGTACTCCTGTTTTACACCTGTCAGCCAGACAGCCGATAGGGTTCTTTGATTTTCTTGCTTTCGATCCCACCGGAACTATCCTCTCATCCAGCATCCCCAGTCGATACTTCCTGGGCTACGAAAAAGAAGGAGAGAAACCAGGCCACTCCTAACAACCCTCATCTAAAGCTACACTAAGATAGGTATTACACTGTGATATGATTTCTGGATTGGTGGAATAGGAAACAATTTGCAAGTAAAATTTATCTGAGACTGTTTCCTTTCAATCCTGACTATTTGGTTATAATAAACAAATTGTTAAAAATATGAAAATAAACTTCAGGGACTAATAATTATTTGTAAGCAAAACTTTCCATCACAAGCCAGCCACTGTAATATGAGTATAAACTGGGGAATTCTGTAAAAATGAAAAAAAAAAAAATCTGTATTTCTCAAACAGATACCTTCAATCACATCATAATACTGAACTCCAACACTTCCCCCGAGATTGCTGTCAAACAAGAAATTAACATTGGCTTTTGTACACTTCTTTTTAAGTTCTAATTTGCCAAGAGTCACCTCCTGAAGACTTGCTTTTAAAAATCAGATAGAACTGCATAGCCAACTGCAGCAGAACTCAATGAGAAAAACATTTCTGCTCAAGTTAATATTCAAAAGGACTAACTTCAGATGCTGTCTTAAGTGCAGACAGACAAGAATTACCATGATAAATGCATTGGAAACTGACTTAAACTTGAGAAAACAAAACATGCTTGAAGTGAACATGCAGGAGGTACTTGTGTCTTGACAGGATTGACATTTCTATTACAACAGTAATGATTTCTACAAATGAAACTATTTATAAAGCATGATATGAACATTAAAATAAACAAGGGGAGGGGGGAGGAAATCTATTTTAAAGACTTTCAAACATGTAAAGTACAGAAGTTCTCCAAATTTCTCTGTGCTTTCAAACCAGCATGTACCTACCTAGATGGTAAATGCTTCCAGAAGAAATTTTTATCATGTACGCACATATTTAGACCAGGACCTTTTATACCAATTATACCAACAATTGAACCAAATTGCAGGGGTTGGTCTGTTTTTCTTTTGCTGTGGGTTTTTTTTTTTATGTGAAAATGCAGCTATCATCATCTGGCCATAGACCACTTCTTAATTAATCAAAACTTAACTTACCTTTATTTAGATATTTACTTCATCGGGTACCTTAGAAATCTTAGCAATGTATACCTTGATATACATTTTAAAAAACTGTTCCTCAGGACATAAGGCAAGAATCTAATTGGAGAAGATTCCCCACTCACACACAAACAATTTGTAAAACACAGGACAAAACTACCATTAAACAGCTGCAAAAAACAAAACCTAAACAGATTCACTCATCTACTTCCCTGAAAACTTTTAGGTTGAAAGCTTTGGAAAGAATTAAAACTGAGAAGAGTCACTAGAAGCTCATTTGCCTAAAACAAAAAAAACCCACCACAATAAAAAGAAAACACCCAAGGATACCAACATTGATTAAGAACTACAAAGGCAATAAACTCCAGGAAGATCAAGTTAACCAACTTTAATAACAATGAACAAGACTGAGTTTTGCTGTACCAATTAGAAATGCGGTAAACGCTGGGATAGGTAGACACAAAGTCCTCCTATAGCTCAAACGCAAACTTGATCACAGAAAATCTAAATATTGCTTATTTATTGGGAGAATCACTTAACTATTGGGCAACGTACCACCTTAGTAATTAATAAGGACTACTAATATCATAACCTGCAAAGCTCTAAGGTCTGAGAAGCCAGATATACAAATAACATCAGATTTTAGGGCAGGGTTTGAACGCAGTATGTGTTTTTCTTAGCCTGGCTATTGGAAATACTAGTATAATGAAGAATAACAGTTTCCTTGGCAGCTTCCCCATCTTGTTCTATGTTCTATGAAGTGCAGGGGCAGAGCCTGCCTCAAACTACTGGACTACAACCCAGTGGCCAAACACATTCCTATTCATAAGAAGTTCTTTTAGTCCTCCATAATAAAAGGTGATCTATAAATATTTTGAAAAGGAGAACCAAAACAAAAGAGGAATTGAGCCAATGTGGAGAGAGGCTGTTTCAGTTACAATGGGATTCAGATTCCAGGCAACAGAATGAAACTGTATTTTAGGCTTTATGAAGGACCATACTGGGGGGCAGGGGAGAAGAACTATGGTCAATTCTACACCATAAAGCAACACAGAGACATACGAGAGCATATACCAGTAGTTCTTGGCCTACTGGTATGAAAAAATTAAACTAAAAAGTGGGTGAGACTAAATGAAAATTTTACTTTCATTATCTACTATTAAGCATCACCAGGAGATTACTAGGCCAGGATTTCATCGTTCAGATAGACATTAGAAGATGACAATAAGATATTAGCATTTGGAAATAAATTTCAGTCTATTTTCATCGAAGTATTTTTAAATTACAGTTGTTTTCAATGAGCAAATTAGCATCTGATTCAGAAATCTAATCTGAGTTTACAGGAGACCAGAAAACCCAGAAAAAGTGTCTGAAAAGAGGAAGATTCAATAGAAAGGAAAAATAAAATAAACTGAGCAGTTTGGATATCAACTGTACTACACCCCTGCCCTCTACACAGAGCAGCAAGTAATGCAGAGACAGAATATCTTGAAAGAAGCAAGAACTCAGCATCCACTGATCGTTTCTGAACAGAACTAATATATCTACCCAAGACATAGAGCCATGACAGCCTGGACAAACAAACCCAATTTATTGGCATGAAGACAATTTCTCTTGGATGATTACAAAAGCAATTGCATTTTTGCCTTCTCTAAAGTCTTTCTACAAGGGAAAAAAAACCTGTTCCGCCATACAGATGAAGGGATAGTTGAACATACTGAACTTTTTTTTGAGGGGGGGAGGTGGCTAAAGCATTTAAATACTTCATAATCCTTTGGCAAGTATTGCTCAAACTAGGTTGCAACTCTCAATATGGTTACAAGTTCCAAATGAGTTGGGAAAGGTCAGAAGCATCACCATTATTTTTAAGTGGAAAAATAAGGTTAAACTACAATAATTAAAATGAAATCTAAGAGAACGAAAAAACCAACAAACCCGAATTATTATAAAGCATTACTGGAAGAGTTCAGTTCCTCGCGGGCAAAGAAGTGAGAAGCAGTAATAATTACTGGCTGCAAATGTTTACATGAGGCAGGGAACAGATAACTACCTTTAATTGCTAGCAACAGCTTTGCTCCCCAGGGTGAGAAGGGTAAGCATTTTCAACCCCAGCTAATAATTATAACTCTTGCCCTGTAGAACCAAGCTGCTGCCAGCAATTAATGATAGGAAGCTATTGGTTGGCATGATTAGAGGGAAGGTGTTACATTATGAAAGATAAACCCCCAAAGTCTGAGAAACATTACACTTGAACGAAAGAAATCCACTCGAAAGACAAAAAGGTCCTTACTGAGTAGCACCTTCACATCAGAACACTACTACAGATGAGTAACTTAATTAGCCCACGCTAGAAAATATTCCTCAAGTCAGCTTAATTACTTGCTTCCCATTCATTCAACAAGAAGTTTGGGAACATGTTCAGCAAGTCTATTTTCTTCCTACTATTTGCTGTAACAGTGTCTTTGCCTCCAGTTCCTCCTGTTTCATGCATCTGCATGTACAAGCAGATAAAAATAAATATTACATTGTCAGACAGGAAAGATCAGGTATACAGCATCATATTTTCCTTGTACTACATATAAAAAATTAAACAATATATGCAATTTTAAGCTTCAACGTTGACTTGTTTTGTAAGACTTCAGTTTTTTAACAGAAGTTAATGGCAAAGAGACCATTAGAAAAAGAGGTTAAACACTCAGCTAGGGTGCTAGTCTACTGGAAAAGAACCAAGTTTTCTTGTATTGTGTCTTGAAAACCAAAAGCTAGCTACAAGCCATTGGTATCATCACTGCTATTTTCACCCAACAGCCATAACCGATTAGCTGGAATAAGACAGTACTTGAAACACCTAGCTATAGATATGAACTTCAATATGTTATTGAGGAAATACAGTCTGGGCAGAATCACAAGTGGCTAAGAAGCGCCTTAGTTGTGAACTACTGCAAAACTGGATTTAGTAATAAGTTCTACAAGGTGTTATACCTGAACTTTAGGTATAGTCACCAGGAGTATCCAAACAGATTTGCAAGCTGGTAATATGAAAAAAAAAAAGTAATCTTGTCGACACTTTTTAAGCTTTGTGACCACTACAGCTACAAACCCCTTCACATGGTTTGGGTTTGTTACTAACCAAGATTCCTCGTCTTCCTCCTTCATTAGAACCTCTCACTGGTAGAGGTAGACAACACTTGGGTTTTGTATCTCAGCTTTGAAGGTTGGAACCAATTTTTTTACTTTGATATCCACAAAAAATGGAATAGGAGCCTGGTCAACAGGTTAAAAAATAATTGTGTTTGGTTGTTGTTTGTTGTTGGGTGGTGGGTTTGGGTTTTTTTTTCTTTTTTATGAAAAAAGGAAGAGTATTGCTAACATTTATAATGTTTATAATTTTAAAGTTTATAATGTTATACATTGAGATTCCATGCACTTACAGACTAGCCACCCTTCCACCTGGAACCCTTTTTTTAAATTGTTCATGAAACCCTGAGTTTGGCTGGGGATAAAACTTTCACTAGTTGAGAAGAATCATACAGAGACAAACAAAAAAGATTCTTCTATCCAAAGAAAAGTAAAATGTGTAATTTGGCATGGAAATAGGTCTTATTCCAGAGCAACATATTTGATGACTGCAAAAAAAAAAAAAAAAAAAACCACAAACATTCTTAGTTCGATCAAATTTTAGAGTGAAAGCTGCAACAGATCAGGCATTACAGCATGCATTTTAAACTACAGCTAAGGAAAACTTTTCAGGTGTACATATTAAAAAGTGTAATTCATAAGTATATATGCTGAAGACATGAAAATCTTGAAGAGTTACAGAATCATAGAATCGTTTAGGTTGGAAAAACCTTGAAGATCATTAAGTCCAACCATTAATCTAACACGGCCATCCCACCACTAAACCACGTCCCTAAGCACCTTGTCTGCCCGTCTTTCAAATACCTCCAGGGATAGGGACGAGTTCAGAAGGAACAGAAGGATAATTGACCTATCTTTAAGTCAATCTCTTCTCACCCATTTTGGAGCCTGGCTAGGTTGGATGAGATACGAATTACCACAACATCTAAAACCTAGCACAGTTGTAGTTACACTGGCAAAACTCTTTATTAAGAAA